CACAAACTATTTGCCCAGGCTGGCTTAGAACTGCGATCCTCCTGATGTCTGCCTCCTGAGTAACTAGGATTACAGGCAGGAGCCACTGGTGCCTTGCCTATTTTTTTATTTTTAGTAAGGGTCTCCCTATGTAGTTGTGCCTGGCCTGCAACTTGCAATCCTCCTGCCTCAGTATCCCAAGAGCTGAGATTACAGCTGTGCACCACCACACCCAGCTAGGGGTTTGGCTTTTAATCAAACAAACAGTACTGGGATATACATCTGATTTAATGTCTTACTTTTTATTATAAGCATATTTTTAATATCTTTGTTGTTATTATAAGCCTAGTTTCTTGCTTTCTGAAAGGTGCATCATTTTCCATTCTATCTACCTTGTCCACTCTACTGATGGACACCAGAACTGAGGTCACGCCACCTCCTTTGCCCTTTAAACAGTGCTGGGCCATCACCCTCTCTTGTATGTGTCCTTTATCGGATCTGGGAGGAGCCTGTGACACCCAAATTTGGGTCATTCACATTCAGTTTCCCTAATTACTCCAGTGCCACACTGTTCACCATGGAGACAGCCAGGCAGGAGAGGTCTATCCCCACTTCTGGTGGCTTCATCTCTATTTCTTCTTCCTACTGATGTGATGGGTGTGAAATGTCTTCTTTTGATTTTAATCTGAATTTCTTTGACTTCAAGTTAGGTTGAACAGATCATCATGTAAGTCGTCAGATTTTTTTTCCTTCTGTGAATTTCTTGATCATAGCTTTGAATGTCTTTTCTGGTCTCGTTATGTAGCTAATTAATGAGCTTAATACATTACAGGTACTGATCTTTTGTGATTGGATGTTGCATGTGCCTTTCCCCATCAGTCACTAATTTACCAGAGTCTATATTTTATTTTATTTTAATTTTTAGGCAGGCTCTTGCTATGCAGCCACCAGGCTGGCTTAAAACTCACTATGAACTTGTGATCATTCTAGTTCAGTCTCTCAAGTGCTATTTATTGAACAGAAATCCTTCATTTTGGGGCTGGCACAGTGGCTCAAGTGGTAGAGCATCTGCCTAGCAAGTGTGAGGTCTTGAGTTCAAATCCCAGTACTGCAAAAAAAAAAGAAACCTTTCATCCTTAAAGAAGGGAAATCTATTAATTTTTGTATAATGCTTAAGAAATTTTTTTTTCATTCAAAATGTGTAATATGTTCTCTTACATTGTCTGCAACTAGCCCTGTAGTTCTACCCCCACATCCAATCCTTTTATTCATATATATATATAGTAATATATGTTTATATATAAACTTATATAAGAAGTTTACAGATATAGAACAGGATATATATCATGATATACTTAATACTGATATAGTTTCAACTTTATTTTTCAAAATATAATTAGCCAATAAACTATCTACTAGTCCACTCTTAACCCAACTAATCTGTGATTTCAGTTTGGTGTGAAGTTTCAATCGTTGTGTTTCTGGGCTCTCTATACTTTTCCATTAAACTAGCTGTCCATTCTTGTATCACCACAAAAGTGATACTGTTGCTGTTACTATGGCTTTGAAGTACAATGATATGTGATAAACCTGTTCTTTTTTTTGATGGGACTGGGGTTTGAACTCAGAGCTTTGCACTTGAGAAGCAGACACTTGCCTTCTACCACTTAAACCAGATCTGTTCTTTTTACTCAGCTTCCCTCAAACTTTCTGTAGCTTTTCATGGACTTTTATTCTTCCATATAAATTCCCAAATCAACTTTTCAGTTAGTGACACATTTATAAAATCAGGACTTTGGTTAGGACATGACTAAATTTATTGGGTAATTCTAAGGAAAAATTAGCACATTTGTATGTCATTATTCTATCCATAAACATGGTATACTGCTTCATTTATATCTTCTTATACATACTGTAAAAATATTTTAAGATTTTCTCGGTAAAGCTTTAGAGTCATTGTTTGTTTAATTACTGTGCACTATAATAGAGTGACTATTATAAATGAAACCTTATTTACATTTAAAATTACTTAATAGTTAATTTTCTAGTTAACTTATTGTTGGTGTAAGGAAACACTATTGATTGTTTTAAACAGACATTTTGTCTTGCAACTTTTGAACACTTTATTGGGATTCAAAGTGACCCACAGTTGGCATCTACCTCTACTTAAGGGTAGAAAGAAAGACAACTACTTCTTCAGCTCTCAGAGGATTGGCAGTAATCAAACAGTAGATGAATTTGGGGATCTCTCAGACTTACCAAAACGAAGTCATTAAGAATGAAGAAAAGGGAGTTCAAGACATGGATTGCAAATGCAACCACCTGCGTAAGGGAATAAGTGGTCTAGGTATAAGGCAAGAGGGAGTGGTGAGGACTGGGGCAAACCAGAAAGCACAACCTCTATATACAAGAAGCAGACCTATTCGGCCTTGCCTAGTTCTTGTCATGCAGAAAACTAAACAAAAACAAAAACATGTTTTTCACATCCTGACAGTTTTAAGGAGAATCCTCACATTCTGGATTTTAAGATGTTGGCAAGAAATTAGAACTTTTAAAAATATTGAGTGGCCAAAATAAAGTCACATCTATGGGTTGGATTTGTTTCACAATCTACTGGTCTGCATCCTATGGTCCAAGAATGTCCCAAGTGGAGGGGACAATAGGGAAGTAAATGAATATCACACTAGCACCCCACCTTTCCATTCATGTTTTCCTTTCCCCCTTCTCCATGTTGCCTTCACTATATTACTCCAGCCAATGTGGACAGCACCCTGTGAAAATTGAGCTTAGAACTTCAGGAGAAAAGAGAAAAGTCAAGGCTAGAGAAAGTGTGGGTCAGACCCAGAACATACCACCTTGAGAAGTCTCCAAACAACAGAAGCTTAAGATGGGGAATGAATTGATAATTTGTCTCCCAGCTTCACCTGAAATGACACGAACACTTCCCATCCTCAACTGGAGATGAGCAGTGTTTGGACATCTGTGTCAGATCAGAATGGCTCCTATGAGTCCTTATTCTAGATCAGAACCAGCCTCTCGTGTTGTCATAGGTTGGTGCAGTGGGAGAATTCTGTCGCTCTCAACATTCATATGTTGAATTCCTCACCTGTAATACCTCAGCATGTGACTGTCTGGAGGTACAGCCTTTAAAGAGGTGATAAAGTGGAGTGAGGTCAATATGACTGGTGTCTCTGTAAGAAGAGGTTAGGACATAACCACACAGAAAGGGAAGACCATGTGAAGATCGTGGAAGAAGGACATACAAGTCAAGGAGAGAGGTCTTAGAAGGAACCAGTCCTGTCGACAACTTGTTCTTGGACTTCCGGTCTCCATAACTGTGAGAAAAGACATTTCTGTTATTTAAGTCACTCAGAATGTGGCACTTTGTCATGGCAGCCCCACCAAGAGAGGACATTTGAGTTTCTTGAAAGCTGAGGTACAGGGCTGAGTGTGAAAGTCTATGGGGTCAGTGTTAGGAAATCCTGTAAGAAAGTGAGGAGGAGCTGGATGCCGGTGGCTCACGCCAGTAATCCTAGCTACTCAGGAGGCAGAGATCAGGAGAACTGCTGTTTAAAGTCAGCCTGGGGAAATAGTTCATGAGACCCTATCTCAAAAAAAAAAAATCACAAAAAAGGACTGGCATAGTGGTTCAAGGTGTAGGCCCTGAGTTCAAACCTCAGTACCACAAGAAAAAAGTGAGGGGGGTAGAAAGGGGCAGAGTGAGAAGTGGGGTTACAATGAGGTGGATGGAGTTTGGAGCTGGGATGCCCTTCAGGGAGGCTCCCGATTAAGGCAAGGGAATCAGTCATTCTCATATAAGTGGGGCCTGGGGACAAGTTAACTCCCAAGGCAATATTTGACAATGGCTGAAGACATGCCTGGCTTTAATTACGGAGTAGATGGGCTGGTGTGGAGAGCATGTGTGCTACTGGCATCTCACAGAGGCCAGGGCACTGCTTAACACCCTATCATGCTCACGACAACCCCCATTGCTATCGCCGAAGAGCTATCACCCAAATGTCATTGGTGCTGAGGCTGAAAATCTCTGCCTTTAGCAATGAGCCATCGGCCAAGGGCTGCTTTTGCAAGGCTAAGACCTTGGGCAGGTCCCACAGGTGAGAGTGGCTCCCAGAGGGTGTAGCTTTGAGCACTCAGAAGCCTAAATTCCCAGCAGTTGGGGGAATGGGTGTGTTGGGGGATGGGTGTGTTGGGGGATGAGTGTGTTGGGGGATGGGTGTGTTGGGGGGAATGGGTGTGTTGGGGGATGGGTGTGTTGGGGGATGGATGTGTTGGGGGATGAATGTGTTGGGGGATGGGTGTGTTGGCAGCAAAGAGAAAATGGCAGAGCAGAGTCCACCTCTTGCCTGTCAGATTTCTTTTCCTACTAACAACCACAGCCAGCCATGTTCAGGGCACCATCCTCCAGGCCTCACACACATGATGTCATTTAAGCCTCATGAGAAGCCCAAGAACTGGTTTTTCTCATCCCTATTTTATAGCACAGGAATCTGAGGCCCAGAGAGGGATAATCACTCTTGAATGCTACTGAGCTAGGAAGTTATGGAACCAGCATTTGCACCCAAGACTGTTAGACATCTAAAGTTTGCTCTTTTGCAAACAGGCAGGACATTCCTTGCTAAAAAAAAAAAAAAAAAAAGGCAGGAGGAAGAGGGTGAACAGTGGGTTTACCCTAGAATTAACCTAAAGCCTTGCCTCAGAGCAGCAAGAGGCCTCAAAACAAGGTGTAAAGCTGTGTAAATATCATGGGACCAGACACTGAGCTTAGGACCCCTGGAGAGGTGGCCTGCCACCTTTATATCCGCAGGTGTTAATGGGTTACCAGAAATAATCCGTGCAGGAGGAGGACTTTTTTTTTTTTTTTTTTGCCTCCTAAGGGGAATGCATGGACCTTAGCACTTTGTATCACAACCACGGTAAGAGTGGAAAAGAAAAGAAGCCACTTTCCGGTAGTCAACTGTATAAAAATAATTTTATTTACTACTGTAAATAAAGTAGTGCAAAGAGTAGTTTGGACCCACGATATTGCATTACTGATTTACTTACTACCTAAGCAGGATGCAGTCCACAGACGCCCCGCCCCTCCTTGCTTTCTCACGCACGCGCGCCGCGCACGCTCAGGCAGGCATGAGGGCTGGGGGGAGACTATGAGCTAAGGGCGTCTCTGCGTATTCCATTGCTGCATGGAGAAGACGCCACTTAAATACCAGGGGTTTTCTAGATGTTCTTTTATGGATTGCAAGTGAAACGTAAAAGATGTCCAACAATGTCTTCAAATGCTGTGGAAGCACTACGACCCTAGAAAAATTCAAGGAGAAAAATGTAAACCACTTTACACAGCCATCGTGTCCCCTGCATTTCCAGCTGTAAACTCTTGGGTTTGGAAGTCAGAGTGCAATCGGTCACCTGGGCTCTAAGAAGCAGGCTGTGGCCAACGCAGCAACCAAAAAATAATCTACCTTGCAGAGACATCTCCATTTTCTGTTCTCTGATGAAAGGGAAAGACCCAAGGACTAAGGCATTTAAAACACCTTCCTGTGTGTAAGAATCCTGACGTGCCACGAGGCAAACTCTGACTCCCCAAACACCAGAACAAAAGTGTGTGATGGCCCAGAAAACCTCCCCACACGTCCCTCTGATCAAAATGCTCCTTGAACTTGTTTGATCTAACCACTGTCTGCTCTGGGCACATCCTTATAGTTTGATTTAAAAAAGGAAAAAAATTTAAAAACCCCAAAACACCAAGTGCACAATCTAGCTGACATGACTTTTAAGGTGTTCATCACTGTAATGCCTGGCCCCCGCCTTCCAATACCAGCTGTGGGAAAGCTTCTCTGGTGTACGGGGAGCCCCGGATTGGACAGTTCACCCACGTGGCTCAAGGTTGTTAGTGGTGCTGGGCTGGTCCTGGTCAGACGCATCTGCTGCTGGAGGCACAGCTGGACTCGCTGTGGACGCAGTGGGGTCTGGTGAGGCCAACGCTGGTACCAGAGGGGAACCACTGGCTGCAGAGACACGTGCAAACAGAGGCTGGACGTTCAAAGCTGTGTACGGAGGACGCCCAGCCACACCCGATTCCAGCAAGTGGGAGATGCTTCTAGCTAATCCAGTGGCCCTGATGCTAGGTAGGCAGGCAAGCTTGGACCCCTTAGCTAGGTTCTTTGCACTTAGGTATCCCCTTCTATCAAATGGCAGGTTGGAATGGGATGTGCAAAGATCCCGAGGGTTCTGACATCCTGGGATTCTAAGTAACTGCATTTCTGCCAGGACTTGGAGGCAAAAACCATCTTGTCTACGTTTTGTGGGCTGTGGCCGTATCTTTTTTCCCAGGATTCTGATACAATGCAAGCCTTGTTGGCTTCTTTCACGTTCCTATTGCAATTGGATGATGTGCCAAAGTTAGGTTATTTTATTTAAATAAAAGTGTATAGGGGTCAGGAAACAGAATTACCAAGTTTAATTATTTATCAATCTATCTTTAGTTAAGGCATTTGGACCACCCCCAACTTTACAGGAGCTTACAGTGTTTTATTTTCAGGTGGCAGATTTCAAATGGGAGTGATTTTTGCCACCAAAAGGACCGTTGGCATTGTCTGGAGACATTTTTAATTGTCATAACTCCAGGTAGGGATACTCACATCTAATGGGCAGAGACCAGGACCCTGCAAATTCCTACCATACACAGGACAACCCACGACAAAGAATGATCTGCTCCGATCTGAGCTGATCCACCCTATTTTATGTGCTAAGGCCCAGAAGGGTTGCAGTTAAGGCTCTGGAGCCTTTCTATTCTGCCCAGAAACAACCTTGTGACCTTGAACAAGTTACCTACCCTCCCAAGCTTCCCCGAATATGGAGACAATAAAAGCATCTCAGCTCACTGAGCTATTGCAAGGGTTAAAGGAGTTATGGTAAGCACGTAAAGTGCTTACCACAGTGCCTGGCACGAATGAGTACTCAGAAAATCTTACCCATTCCTGCAAGTGACCTGGTTACTGGGGAAATAAATGTGTCATGATTTGTTCCTTTCAGGTTCGGGGCTTACAGGACTGATAACACAGTCCATGCTGTTTCTGGGATACCTATAGTTCTCTTTGAGATCCCATGAGCCTGAGCAAACAGCATAAAGTTCAAAGCCAAAAAGACTAGGAGTCAATCAGCTATGATGTTTGTTAGCTGGGTAATCTTGAGTCAGTTTCTGAACTTCTCTGAGCCTTAGTTTTGTTATCTTTAAAATGGGGGTAGCAATTTGCAGAGCTGTGTGATATACGGTTAGCTCAGGGCCAAAGTTTGTACAAACAATTGTCACTTTGCCTTTAAGCAGTGAGCTTTCAGCAGTTTTTATTAAGTGGGGCTATTTTTTTTCTTTTTTTGAGACAGGGTCTTACTATATAGCCCAGGCTGACCTGGAACTCACGATCCTTCTACCTTGACCTCCCAAATGCTGGGATTACAAGCATACACCACACAGCCTATGAGTGGGAGCCCTTTTTAAAGGTTCTGAAATGCCTATCCTGAAATGTATGAACTTTAAGAAGATCCACAGGGGGGAAAAAAAAAACAAAGAAATAAAAAGATCCAACCACATGCTGACAATCTGACTTCTAGATAAAACCCTTTCAGAGTTCTACGTCAAATATCATGGTCGTCTCCAAAGGGCCGTCCCTGGAAGTCCAGGCCTGGACCTCAAAGTCACCAGCTCTTTAGGGTACATACAGGACTTCTACATAGGGCTCTTTCTAACACCAGCAGAAGATGCTGTAGAACCAGACACTTCTAAAAGAACAGGGCGGTGCATGGGGGAGGGGACCCAAAGTGGTGTACAATGCTGTACCATTACTAGGGTCATTAACGCCATCACTCCGACTGGTGACTTAATGACTAGAGACCTGGTGATGAGGTACAAAGACCATTTCACAGTACTCCGGAGACTGGGTCTGGGCAAGCGTCACTTGTCACTTATCTCCGTGCTCTAACTTTGGGATAGATACCGAATGGCGAGAATCAAGGGGCTTGGAGCACATGGCGTCTGGACCCCTTGCACCCGAGGCTCTATCTTTGCAGAAGTTAATGCAACACTAAGACATGGATTTTCAAGCTGAGGGAATGTTTAAATCACCATGGTAACGAGATAAATCAGCAGTTGCTTTTCTGATTAAAACAAAAAGTGTGTAAATGTAGAAGGAATGCCTAATTAGCCTTGCCACCATCGAAACCTTCTGGTAGGAGCACAATGAAGGCGCTGGATGGCTCTGTAGTAAGTTTGTGATTATCCGTGGGAGAGCTTGCTCCCTTCCGTGAGGCTTTGCAATCACTGTGCAAGGCCCCCCACGGCCCGTCCTAATTTTAAAGTGGCCCCTTTGTCTCTGCTCACCTGGAATGCGTGCTAATTTTATTACTGGAGTAGAATGAAGGTAACCAGAAAAATCAGCGTTCTGTTTAAAACATTACAGAGCATAGTCCAGAGCCAAAGAGAAAGGACTTGTGGGTTACTCGCTGCCCAGGAGACCATTCTCCGTACATTAGTGAGGGCCATCAGGGGTTAGCCCATAGGCCAAAGGCAGCCACTGACTATTTTTATATAGTTCATGGTCTAAGAATGGCGTTTCCATCTTTACGCAGGGGAACAAAAATCAAAAGATGAAAAAGCTCTCCTGACATGTGAAAAATAGTTGAAATTCCAATGTGTCTATAGAAAAGTTGTATTAGGAACTCAGCTACGATGGCTGTGTCTGAGCTCCAGAGGATGGTGGTGGGTGCTGACAAGGACAGCCAGAAAGCCGAAAGTGTTGATTATCTGGCTCTTTCCAAAGAAGCTGGTTGTAGACTGTTGTCTATGCCTGCTGGCTAGTTGAGCAGATGTGTGCATCCGAGAATAATGTGGTGAAGTATATCGGGTTAATTCTGAAATGGTTGAATGTTTGCACAAATGGAGTGCAAGGTGTGGAGAGAGCTGGAACTCTCACCCTCTGCATAAGACCTCTGGAGCTGGCAGGCCCAGCACAGATACAAGATTTGTATCACTGCAACATTTCTTCTGAGTGGAGGTACTGGTGGGCGCCAAGGGTAACCAGCTAGGGAGAGACAGGGCGACATCACACTGCAATCTCTGTGACTCAAACACTGCTTTTTCATGAGCACCACTTTGTGACATTTTGTTGTACTTTTAGCAGAAACCTCACTAACTTGAAATGTAGAGGACAGGAAAAGGAACAGGGAAAAGTTTAATCAATTTTGCTCAGATGATCTTTTAAAAGAACCTAAAACTATCCACTTAGCCAGAAAGGATGAGTTGGCTTACATGGTGAATGTAGTGACCAGTCCAGCCAGGTGAACTTAAGGAGCTGTACCCAGGAAGCTGGAAGCTCAAAGACCTTGCCCTATACTGTGCTTTCTGCAAAGCTGACATTAGAGCTGCAGGTTGAGTATCCTTAACTGAAATGCTTGAGACCAGAAATATTTCGGATTTCAGATTCTTTTGGATTCTGCGTACACATAATGAGCTATCTGGGCAGGGATTCAAATCTAAACATGAAATTCACTTATGTTTCATGTACATACCTTATATGAAAGGAAATTTAATACAATATATTTAGTGCACCTGTAGGTTTTTCTTTTCTTTTTTGTGGGGTTGGGGTTTGAATTCAGGGCTTTAAGCTCACAAAGCAGGTGTTCTACTGCTTGAGCCATACCTCCAAGTCCATTTTGCTCTGGTTATTTTAGATATAGGGTCTCAAGAACTATTTGCCCAGGCTGGCCTCAAACTGTGATCCTCCCACTCTCAGCTCCTAAGTAGCTAGGACTAAAGGAGTGAGCCACTGGCCACTCACTGCACCTGCGTGTGGGCTGCTACCCATCACGTGAGGTCAGGCGTGGAGTTCTCCGCTGTGACTTCATGTTGGTGTACTACAGGTTTTAGAGTTTGGGGCACTTAGGGTTTGGGAGCATTTTGGAGTTTTCATTTTCAAATCAGGGATGCTCAACCCACAGTTTGTCTTTGAAGTGGCACTTTCTCTTCCTCCCTCGTCTCCCTTCACCTCCCTTTAGGCAGCCAGTCAGGGTCCAGACTTTCTGTGTTTGTGGCAGGCAGAGTGGACATGGCTCTAGGTGTACTTCACTCTATTTCTTTTGTTTTGTTTTGTTTCTCAGAAGCCTGATCCATTAAGGTAATTACACTTGGTCTCCTTGATGGGAAGGGAGAGAGAGAGAGTGCTTTTGAGATGTGGTGAGGCAGGGAAAGAGCTTTCTAGAGTCTGAGGGGAGCTGTGCTTGTCTGTGGGTTGTCCACAGTGGTCCACCCCTGGCTCTACAGTAATCTGAAAAACAGGAAGACTCAAAGGCAAAGGCAATGACGCTCAGCTTCAGCAATGACGCAGCTGCTGCTGACCCAGAGTTGCAAATCCAGTGGATCTGGAAAGACAGAGAAGGCCTGGGATGATGTGTGCTTTGCTCTCAGATTCGTGACAATCAAGTGACTCTAAGGCTACCCAAAACCCAGGGACCTCTGTACTACCCTGGAAAGCATTAGCCCCATGAAAGATGGTGCCTCGGAGTCAAAAACAAGGTTCCTTAAAAGAAATGCAAGAGACATGCCGCACTTGTGCATGGTCTTGGAACTTTCGCTAGCTTACTCCATGCCTTTGTTTAGATGATTTTTAAAAGAATCTTTGGTCTAGAAGGAGCCTCACAGCACAGAAATGCGTGCTAGGCTTTTTAAAAATAGCATGCTATTTAAGCACTGCTGACCCCTGGTGGCAGCTCCCTTAATTACAGGTAAAATGCCCCGCAGGACATAACCTCTTGGGAGTCACCGGTTAATCTTTGTGGAGCTCTAAGCATTCATTTAGTTCTCTTAACTACCATAAAAAATTGGCATGCTACTTCTTTACAGAAGAGGAAACTGAGGTACAGTAGGCTCCTCCTTGCTTAAGGCCACAGAGCTAGTTGTAGAGGCAGAATCACACCAGTCTGACGCCTGCTTTGGTACTGTTAATGTGTGCCCTGCGCTATCAGCCTTCTGAACGCAGGACAATTAAATGTGGCAGAAGCCGTGACATTCTGACTGTACATCACAGAGCACAAAACTCAGAGGGAAATGAAGGTTGTTGGAGCTGGAGGCAAAATGGACATCCATTGTAAGCTTGGTGATAAATCAGTAATTTTTAAAACGTCTGCCTGGAAAAAATGTAAATTGTGAAGTGACAAAGATCCTTAACTTCTAGTGATAATTTTTGCCCCAAGCTGCTTAGGAGAGGCTTCTAGCTCTCAAATCCACATTGGGTAGCACCCAGAGTTCATTACTGTGCTTGCTATCCAACCCCACAGCTGCCACAAACACTTACCACTGTCCCCCTCTCTGCTGTGGACAGGGCATGGGCCCTTGGGCTCTGTCAACTCATCAGGGAGACACGAGTGGCAGAAGCTTTGGCTTCTGGGCAGCTACTTCTCCTTACTCTTTTGTGCCCCTGTCACCTGCCCATCACTCCTTCAGTTACCTGCTCCACTGGGTTGATGGAGTTCCTTCTATTTCAGGATGACCGGCACACTGGTTCTCAGGATGAAAACTTTAAAAACCGTGAGAGGAATGTACCCGTGCCTTAATTTAGCACGGGTTCTACCAGAGCCAGAGGTACACCGTGGGGTCATGTTCTGTCAATGTGTGAGAGTTTTTAAAGAACACTTCCACCATCACTGATCAAAATATGCTCTATGGAACCACAGTGCGGGCAATGCCCAGCCAGGGAGCCCACTAGAAATGCCCAGCCCAGATCCACTGAACCAGAATCTGCACTTAATATGACCCCCGGATGACCTGTGCACATGCAAACAAAGAATCACTGCACTAGAATTTATATACAGAAACATATTACTTCATTATAATTTGTTTATTTCTCCGTTACCTTGATGTCTGGACACTCTATTGGTTTTATGAAAACTCTATTTTTTTAATGAAAACGTGATCCTTCAAAAATATTTCTTATGTGAGGAGGCAAAAGGTTTGAGATTGTGCACACAACTGGTTTGTAGTATTGCGATTTTTGAAAGAAAATTCAAAAATTTGGGCCCTACACCCCTTGACCTTTATTTCCTTATTTGGGCAGGCTATGTCACCTCTCTGGCCTCAGTTTCCTCATTTGTAAAATGAAGGGCATAGAAGTAAGTTATTCTTAAGATTTTATGCAGATGTAGCCTTCTCTTGGTTGATCAAGAGGGAAGGAAGGATGTGCTGGAAATGCAAAAGAAAAAGTTTGATAAAAACAAGGAAAATCTGTGAAAAAAATGAATGAAGGAGACATGGAGAGGGAAAAAAACATATCAACAGACAAGAGGGACAGAGAGACAAGGCAGAGGGATGGATAATGAAGATGTGAAGACGGAAAAGAGAGCTGACTTCTGATGAAAGCATTTCCACCCGCCCATGAATTTTCATGGCTACCAGCTAGCATAAAATCATCCAGGCAATTTCAGCTCCTCTAACAGAACTGCATTTGCAATAATCATAACAAAATTTCTACAGAGTGAAAATGACAAAGATAATTTGAAGTGGAAAACACAGACAAGATGCAAAATAAATGTGTTCTACCTGGTAACAAATTTAGTAATGGACTGAATTTGCATGATGGAGATTTATTAACTGGCAGAGGACAAGCCCTCAAACCTGGAAGGTCTCAGGATGGCCCCCCGTGAACTCCCTCAGGTAAATCAAGGGAAATAACTCTGTGTTGCCTCTCAAACATCGAATCCCTTCTCCCTGACGAAGAGAAGTGGGACTGACACACTGCTTTTGCTTTTCGTTATACATTACACAAATAATGACCACAAAAACACTCAAATGTTATACGTCTTCTGATCTGTCTATTTGTAAATGTCTCTGCTGGTCTTCCTGAGTTAGTATGCCAAGATGGGCATCCAAGATGGCAGAAAACAACAGTAATTTTCCACCAAGGGATGTTTATAGGTTTGAGCATCTCCTAAGTGTGAGTTACAGGGAATAAAACAGAACAGCTAACATTTATCCAGAGGGCTTCTTACGCTAGTAAATGTTAATAGCTGACATTTCACTACAGTTGTCATTCTGATAAGTATCTTATATGCAGCACTTTCACTTAACTTTTCTTTTTCACCCTATTATCTGGGGAAGTAGCTGCTCTTGAAACCTCACTTGATCATGTGAAATTGGAGATAAGGAATGTTGAGTAGCTCACCCAAAGTGACACAGTAATAAATGGCCAAGTCTGGACTCTACACCCAAATAGATGAGATGGGGGTGCTGATCTCCTTAACTACTCCCCTACCCTTGCTCAGAGGAGTTGTGATTCATGGGAACCAAAAGTGGGACTAACTCCATCTTGGTCCCTCCCGGGAGTCCGTGTGGCTGGGTGTGTTTGCTCTTGATGAATGTGGGAAGGCTTCAGCAGAAGGCTCTGAAACTGGGTTTGAAGCTCACAGGGGTAGAATTTTGATAGATGATGCATTTTCAATGATAGAAAACATTCCAGATCAATTTCTTAAGCTTTAAAACAATTCTTACTTTGGGAAATGCAATAGTTTTGTGGCCTCCTGGCAGGGATTATATATACCCCCAAGGGAGACCCCATCCTAAAGAAAGGAAGTAGCATGCCCAAGGGTGTGAGCCCTTTCTCTGGGAGGAAAGACAATCCCTACCTTCTCATCCTGCCTTGGCTTTTTGTAAGGCTTACCTGACATAGACTGGAAATACTGCACCGTCCAGGCGATCAATATGGAGAGAAGAAAGGTTCCCAGAAAGTAGATCTGCAAACATCCAGAGCGTGCATCAGATGGCTGAAAAGGGCAGGGACCACGGGGGCAGGGCTGGGGATGGTACTTACCAGGGCAGAGTGCAGGATGGTGCTCCAGATAAGCCTCAAGTGCAGGTAAAGCCAGGCCAGGGAGCAGGGGCTGAGAGACTCCACGTTACCATGGCTCCAGCACCTGTGATCAAAGCAGGGGTATCTCGAGCATCAGTGGGCTGTGTGGCACCATGATGACCAGCTTTTCAGACCCTCCCATCCACGCTCTGACTTTTGCACACAAGAGTGGGCACATGACAAGGCAGAGAACAGAGCCAGTTCTAGGGAGTTTGGGCCTTACCTGGAATTTTGAGATCCCAGGAGGAATCTCCAAAAAAGGTCTCTGGTGTCCTTCATATATAGGAACTACTCTGAACCCAGGGCTTTCCAGAACAATATTTCTATCTGACTGTCTGTCTGTCCAAAGTCCAGATGTGGGAAGGCCTGCCTATCTTTCAGAAAAGTGTGGGTCAAACGGTTCATCATTTTTTTCCTTCATGAAAACTCTGGGTCAGCACTTGAACTTCAGATTAAGTACAAACTAGATCTTAAGCCTCAGATACTAGAAAAGGAAAACACATTAGGTTTGGGTGAGTGCTTTCTAAGGAAAGCAAATTTGGCCCATTTTCTAACATAGGACATCACAAAATAAGGGGGAGGCTAACTTGAACCAAGGAACAAACACCACCATCTTGGTTGCTGCAGACTCCACGGTACTAGGGAGGCTCTGAACTCACCTTTCGTACAGCTCTCGGAGAATAGACACGTTATCAGAGTGGAGTGTTGGGTCAATTTCCAAGAAATCCAAAATATGGTGTGGGATGATAGCACCTTCCTCAATTAGCAGGGCCAGATTAAAAAATCCCTAAAAACAAGCCACAGACCAAACCCATCAAGTCCTCATAATGAAACCCAGACACATGCCCTTCATCAGCATATAAACTTTTACAACCTTTAAAATTTTTTTTGCAGTCCCTAGAGCCAGATGGCTTTGTCATTTCATTGATGAATTGTTTCCCTAAATATATGCATCTGAGAAATTTATTTGCAGGAGAACCAGGAGGCTTTCAAAGATGCTGGGTCCCATCTGCTCAGAAGCCAGTCAACCAGAGACCTGTCCTTCCCTGCTCATGCTCTGAAACCGAACTCTGGAGAAAACATGCCCGTGGATCATCGAGAGAACCAGACCTCTGAGGCGAAAGCAATGTCCGTCACTCACAGACTCTGCCTGCGGTCACTATCAGCCCGTCAGAAATCTGACAAAATGTTTTGTGACTGGGCTGCTACCCATGGCTGATGGTCTAATGGCCGAGTGTCTCCTTTACATACAGAATAACAGATGGGCACTTGTCGCAGCTTTCCTAGATCTTCCTCCCGATGTGACTCTCCACAATGGGGCATTTTCCTGCCTCTTCCTTCTACACCTTACTCTTGATCCTCAAAGGTAGAGCCTACCTTGTTAGACTGTTCAGGGCCAATAAAGGCTGTGGCTCAAGAGCCTGACCGTGGAGATGTGTCACAAAGGATGGGTGAACCTGGGGGACCATTCCCTCCATTGTGTGAGCATGCAGCTGGACCAAGAAGCCAGTGAAAAATGATGTAGGACTCCCCACTCCAGATCTACAAATGAAACCAGACTGGTACCCTTCAGAGAATTCCTGGATATGTTCTAAGGACTTCTCTCTTCTCCCCCTTGCCCTTCTAGTGCCAGTGACAACTAAATGAAATCCACCAGGTTGCACATGCCAGGATTCACAATCTCCCTATGATTAACATAATAGCAGTAAAAGTGTTCTGAGCACTTGTCCAGTGCAACGCATTGTGCTCTTCTATGTTCACTTACTTAATCCTCACAATAATGAAGAGAGATTAGTACTAAAATAGAGAGGACAACCTCTCCACTTTTTACAGATGTGGAAATGGAGGCACAGAGAAGTTAAGGAACCTGCCCAAGATCACACAGCTGGCAAGTGGCAGAGCTGGGATTCAAAGGCAAACAGAGTCCAGAGTTTCCACTCCATCTCCACCAGGCTGCCAAATAGCCTTGAATCTGATTAAAGTGCTAAATCTCTTTAAGGCACATGCACACGGCAGCAGAACATAATGCATTTTTCTTCTCTTTGAAAGGAATGTACTGTTACCACTTGAGGACTATTCGAAGAAAAGAGGGAAAACTGTAAAACTGTGAAGGTTCCAGTCAAGGGAAAATAGTGTCAAAGTCAGTGGGGAAATAGGCTAGAGGGATGTTCATACACAAGGCAATGGCTTAAGGTTCTTTATCTACCAGGCAATTAGATAAAGGACTAATTATGACTTGAGTAAAAAAAGTAGCAGAACTCCAATAGACAAACAAAGAACAAGACAAGAGAATTCACAAGAAAGAAAACCTGAAGGTTAAATTACCATCAACAAGTGTAGATAAAACTATTCATCCTCACTAGTAATTAAATAAAAGCAATTTCAAACAAGGAAGTATTAAATTGCACGTATTCAGTTAGCAAAATGAAACCATCCAGTGTTGACAAGATTGCTGTCACCCTGTCTACCTCTCCATTGCTCAGTGCCATAACTGGAAAAACCTTTCAGAAAACAGACTAGCACTATGCTACCATGAAGTCACAGATGCTTAGCACTCTGGATCAGTAACTTAGAATATAACTAAATTATTCAAAGGAAGGAAGAGAAAAAATGGAAACCGTACTAGTTTTGATTGCAACAGAACAGGAAACAAACTATGACTCTTCACTGGGGGGGCTACAGCCCCCACAAAGGCAAGCATCTTGGTTTTTTCCTCATGTCCTCTCCACTAAACATTGTCTAAGACGGGGTAGGATTGGATTAGGGCATGTTGAATCAATGAGTAAGTTAGCAAATAATAGTAACAGCATTCATCAATGGGTCAAGCTTAAGAATCACAGTCCATCAGCTCAACAGAATACAGGGCAGTCAATGAGTAACAATTATAGACTGTAAAATAAAATATACACAGTGCTACAATTAGTGATAAGACAGAGTCCATCAATGACACATACACGGCAGACAACATTACAGACACAAGTGGTGGTGGGTAGGGACCAGGAAGACATGAAGGAATTGCTGGTACATTCTTTACTGTTTTTTTTCCTTTTAACATTATCCTTTTTGTTTTTGTAATATTGTCATTCTTAACATTAATTCAAATCGAAATCCATATTATCCAGGCCTAATTTTCAATGACAGCTGAATCTCTTGAGGGAGTTTGTTTCTGCCACAAAACTCTTTTGCAGCAACTCCTACTTTGCTGCAGAAGAAGCAGTAGCAGCGTAGACGAGGTTCATTAAGAGGACTTGGCACTGGGCTCAGAGCTTTATACCGAACACCTATTTAATCCTCATATTCGATGGGGTAGGTGCTGTGATTACCCCAGGTGACAGATGAGAAAATGGAAACTCAGAGACTTAGGGACCCAACTCACCGTGAGATCCTCACAGGGGAATTCTAATTAGCAAATGGCGAGTGGATGAGGGGAGCAGAGAATTATCACTAGATCCCCCCACTAATAACTGGTGCAGGAAGGAGCTATTAAAATTCACGGGCAAACTGTTGAGGACAAGCAGGATATTCTGAATCATCACAAAGTAAGCTATTTGGAAATTAGAAATGTAAAATATTAACTTTACAGTGGACAGATCCCACAGAAACCTTAGCCAGGTGATTAAATTAACCTCACCGGTGATAAGACACACTGACCTCATGCACCCCGATCGATGCACTGAGAACCTTTCACTTCTGTACTGTTCTTTTTTCTTGTGTGGGCAGGGGGAGCGATACGGGGATTTGAACTCAGGGCCTTACGCTTGCTAGGCAGGAGCTCTACCACTTGAGCCACCCTGGCAGCCCTTTCTTGTATTGCTATTTTTGAGATAAGGTTCTCATTGTATGCCTGGACCAGACTGGACCACAATCCAGTTTATACTTCCCAAGTAGCTGAGATGACAAGTGAATGCCACCATGCCCGGTCATTGGTTGAGATGGGATCTCTGGAACTTTCTGCCATGAACCACCATCCTCCTGATCTCTGCCTCCCAAACAGTTAGGATTACAAGATTGAGCCACTATGCCCAGCCACTTCTTTAGTGTCTTGCCCAAAACCTGTAATCTCAATCTATTCATAAGAAAACAGAAGACAGACCCAAAAAACAAGGAACCATCTACAAAACACCCAACCAGTATGTTTTAAAGTATGAAAGTCATTAAGATAAAGAGAGACTGAGGAGCTCTCACAGGTAGAGAAAGCTAGAAAGAAAGATGACAACTGTCATTCAGTGTGACCCTAAAACAGAAGGAGGGTATTAGCGGAAAAAATGGTGACATCTAAATAAAGTCTTAAGTGTAGGTAACGATCCTGTCCCAGTGTTAACCTCCTCATTCAAAATGACCTCATGGCTATGTGAGCTGAGGCAAGGGACTCTCTGGATTCTTTTTGCAACTTTTGTATAAATTTAAAATTATTTCGAATTAAGAAGTTTCAAAAAAAAAGTCATTGAAAAAAAGTACTGTCATGAAAGCATGGGCTAGACTGTACCACAAACCACTTCCTACAGTGGTCACATTTTTAGGATCTCAAGTTTTTCCCCTATAAATTAGGTTGGTGGAATTTGGCAAAAATACCCTCCATTTTGGCAACAGAGACACGGGTGTCTCTGGCTGCTTCGCTTACCATTATGGACAAGTTATTACCTTGTATAAAATTGTTACAAAGTCTCTGGCCCCACTGGATTGCTGGCAAAATGGTGTACATGGGGAACATGGTACGTGCTCTCTAAGGCACACCATTACAGTTCAAGTTGTGAAGTGTGTGAAAATGACAGCTGCACGTGCATGGAAAGATGGTTAGGGCTGGAGTCTTTAAGAGCCAGTAGCTGTCATTGCTTACCTGCGAGTCTCCATCAAGAGCTGCTTGCGCGTACATCTGCACAGACAGCTCAAGGTCTTGGGACTGGTTTTGGTGGCCATAATAGTAAAGATCTCCCATTTTCAGATATGCTGCAGGACACAAGACACACAGCCACTTGTCAAGTGGTTTTATCCAAGATGGACACAGTGAATGATCAGCCCATTCATTCAATGGAGAGTGTTTCCTGTACGAGTGGATACAGACCACCTATGTTCTGTTTCCTTGACCCAAGCACCCCTGACTGTAGATAGCTCCCCTGAACAGGGCTGTTTGGGAGAGCCTCAGTTGGCAACCTCACAGTCCATCAATCTTTGGCTCTTTATTTCCCATCTGAAATGTCACTGCCTGAGCTGGCCTGCCTCTTGCATCTCTTTACTTTGTTTTAGCTGTGTATTTCATTTTTACTTAGAGAAAAAACATTGGTTTGCATCAGTCAATGTCCAACTAGAAAAGCAAAATCCATCTTGGGTAGGTCAAAAGAGGGATTTTATCATATGGAACTGGTTGCCAGGTGTTGGGGCCCAGAGGGTGGCTGTCACACACCTAGAGCCTTATGGTCCTGTGGGAGCAGAAATCAAAGAGGATAGAGTCGCCTGGGGAGCTGGAACCACAGAAAGGTAGCCATTGCCAGCAGCTAGGTACAAAGGGGAGGGATGCCTCCCTCCTCCCATTGGCAGAAGCTCCTCAGAAGCCCCTGGGCACAGGAGTCTGGGCACTGTGGTTCCTGAAGGCCCACCCCTGCCATAGAGAGGAGAGCAGAGGGACCAGGGAACCCAGCTGAGGGCAAAAAGGGCAAATTGACCAGCCCAGGAGATCACTCCACAATAGCATTCTTGTGGTTTGGAAGAAGTAGTGGGTCCCAGCACACCAAGGGACAGGGAGCAGGAAGCTGAAAGCATTTTAGCCTTGACCTTAATAGCAGAGAATTTTCACTTTCTTTCCTAATTGTTTAGAAAAATCACACTGTACACAAAGCTGTTAGGTGTTCCCTGTTACAAGGCTACAATTTAGCATGTTTTGCTATACATACCAAATGAAGGAGCATCAATTTGAAAAACAGAGAAATTATAGTATCTCCAGACACAATTAACGCCCAAGTATCTCCCAGCCAGGTCCTAAGAGGTAGAGGGGAGAAAAAGCTAATTCGTTAATATTTTGGCCAACCAGCTAATTTTTCCTCCAGAAAACTCAATTCATTATCCTTAACCTTAGAGCTGCCATTTGAAGAAGAAGCCACTACTTACCGGCCTCTCCTCACAGATGTGGGCTAAATTTGTTTGTGACACTTCAATTCCAGTTTCGGCTGCTAACACATAATACAGCAAAGCTTCATGCCTGAAAATAGATGATTAATAATAAATTTCACATAGTTCTTCCTAATATTCACAGAGAGCTTTCTATTCAAACACAAGAGGGCACAAAATAAGCAGTTTTTTTTTAAAAGCACAAAATCATGAGTTTTTTTTTTAAATAAATAATGTTGTTAAAAATACTTCATGCACTGATTCATATTCTATCTCACAGGCTGAATTCCCAGATAAGGCTGGTGCAAGTCGATACAACAGCTACCTCTACTGGCTGAGTGCGCTGGCTGGGGACTTGTCTGTCAGTGCTAGGTTGAATCCTTCCTTCCACGCTTAGAGGAGATAAGTGGTATTAGGAAAAAACCCTAAGCTTTACAGTCTTCTGTTTTGTGAAAGACTTTCTAGGCTTAAATTCTGAACAAGCTTAATTAAAGCAGTGCCTTTGTTGTGCATTAGAAGTTTGGCAAAGGAGAGGCAATTTTCACAGGCCAAATCATATTATAAAATAAACGCTGGACACTGTTAGTGATTACAGAACTGCAGAACAATGAGTGGTCACTTTCACCTGCTGAAAGACCAGCAGAGGATTCCTGGATGCACTGATGAGGGCTTGGGGAAGTGGACAACTCCTCCATCCCCCACCAACATGGCTCTAGAGGACAAGGCGTCATACAAACATGGGGCGTCTCAAGACCGCGTGTATGATTTGGCTCTACCTTCTCCCTCACGAGGTTTGCTCTAAAAGAACAATCAAATGTATGTGTAAAGATCCCGTTGTTAAGGAGCTGGTGGTAGAACAATAACGACAAAGAAAGCAGGGGACAACTTCAATGTCTACAACATCAGCTCAGTTAACCTGCAGAGAAGCCACTTCCGATGTGGCCTTTAAGAATGATGTTTTTGAAACAGAAAGATGTTTATGCAAATTTTTCTATTCAGTGCAAAAAAAAAAGCAAAATATAAAATAGTACATCCCATTTGTACAAAATGAAAACGAAACTGAACATGTACGTGTGCACACACATACAAACACATATGTACAGAGAAAACCTCGAAAAATTATCCACCAGGCGCAAGAATATTTACCTCTACATGATGAGAACCAAGAGATTTTTATTTTCTTTTTTACTTCTCTACTTTCATCTGTTTTCTATGTTATCCAGTTTGTGGGTACAAATTCATTTTAAGCATAACTGGTTGTTTCTGAAACTTACTTTCACTTTAAGTAGCTGACATTAATGACATTAATGATGCTTTTTTCATTTTAGCTCCATCTAGGAACTGGCTTTGGGGAGGATGGGGGTAGTTCTGGGTGAGGAAAAATCAGGTAACTGGATTCTGAAATTGTGTTTTCTAAACTGTTAAAAGCTGAATTTTGCAGACAGTCTGTAGGAGCGAGAGGTGGTTGAAGATCAAATTAGGCCAGTAGTCCTTCGGTCTGACATGCCACAGGCCACAGGCCACGTGGAAACTAATATACTAATTCCTAGTCCGAGGGATACCCAGGCTGCTGACCAATTATGAGGGACAGGTCAGCTAAGCAGTGTCCCCTGCAAAGATAAACCAGATAACCAGCCCACAACTGCAGTGGCGAATGCCACCCCCAAAATGCCTGGGGACTTTCTTATACAACCTGCAAAAACCTTGTTTGGGTAACCGAATCCTCAGAGCAGATCTAACTCCAGACTGAGGTTAGATCTGCTGGCCACCAGGGAGGCCAGCAGAAAGTCCCCATCCTTCTGCTACAAGGTCCTGTTGCTAAGGTCGTGCAATCTCAAATTTGCTCAGACACACTGGGCTTGTACCAATGCCTCAGTTTCCAGCAGGGATGCATGAAGCAGGGATGGTAACAATAGCAGTGCCTTCTGCTGCCATGCCTGGCTGGAATGTGGCTCTCTGTGATACCAGGAATCCTTCTTGGACAGGAGAAAACCAGCTGGTTGGCTGTTAGGACTGAGGCATGGGAATAGACATGGGGTTGACTTTTCGTAAGAACACTTACTAAGGGAAACTTTATAAAGATAATATTTTATCTCTAAAGTTACCTTGGTGGTGGTGGAGGGAAGAAAGGAACATGTTTTATAGGAAGACTCCTACCGTCCAATTATTATACAAACTGAGAGGAAATTTATATTCTTAAGCATATCCATCAAGGAAGAACCAAAATCCATCAAAATGAGATGTCTAAAAGCACCAGTGTCAAGAATGGTACTGAACAGAAATTCATGTCTGTCTTCCATCTGGCAGAATCAATCAACCAGTGCCTGTGCACGGTGAAACTGTCACCATTTATTTTGTATATGGAATCGTGAACTCTACAAGTGGCTTAGACACTGCAGACCAGCCTTTCCAGATGATTAAAACTTTAGGGACCTGGCACGTGGACCAAAACCCCTCCCACCTGTAATCTCCCTGCATTCACCAAACTAAGTTTCAATGAAAGCCTTCCAAGTATTAATTATAGCCATTTCTACACTCAGATTCCAGAACAAACATATACTCAGCACTTGCTGATTGCAGGAAGCCCAAACACAGGCCAGAAGTCTCCTGTCCTACCCTGACTTCCCTCAAGTTTGGAGAAGACCACCAGAGTGCAAGATTTATTTGTAATGCACTCCTGTGAAATTGTCCCCAGACTTGTCACTGTGACGGAGATGGGCACAGGGTGCAGAGAGAAAGGGATTCCCAGAAAAGAGATACCCTCTCATTTCAGACGGACCTAGCACAGACTTTCTAGCACTTTTATAATGATACATCTTAATAATCAATTCTTTGGCTCCTTGCTGTGAATTATGAATTTGAGTACCTCTGAGCAGTTTCTTAAACAATTGTATGATTTCCTCTGTGCTCTTCTCAGCTGATGCCTGCAGTAGCTCAGACAGAAAAGATGAAGAAAACAACAACAAAACCTCTGGGATCTCAGTGGAATCCACTGCTCTACTGCAAAAAGGGGAATCTCTTTGAACTGGAACTTTGCACTCTCTCTGTCTTGCCTTAAGCCTGCTCTACCCTGGCTAACCTCCAAGGTTAAGTGTTCTGGGTATGTTTAAGACAACAGACAATAAAACATGTAGCTCAAAGATAAAAACATACATGGGGAAAGGTGGAGAGAAATGAAACATGACAACTGGACTTTCTTTCCTAACTCCTCCTGGTGTCCAAGGACAGCCCGGGGCACGACAACCTTATCTTTGTACTACAGCAAAAAGCCCATTTATCCACCACTTCTTTTTAAAAGGATCCCACATAAATCTTGGAACAACACAAAAAAGCACAGGCACGTTGAACTGACAAGTGTAATTTGGAAATAACATTCAGAGTAAATTCACTCAGGCAAAAATGAGAAAGGTGGATGGGCCAGGACATTAATGGATGCCTCAGTTCTGTTACAGCAAAATAGATGGTACCAGAAAAGTCACACTGCAGTGCCACAAGGCCAGCCCACATCTATTTCCTGTTTGCCCTCTGGGGAGGGCTGGGAGGCTGGGAGAGTAGGAAGTCACAGAAGCTCTTTGCTTCAAATATATTTTGGCAAAGGTCTTCCCATTGTGGTGGGTACTAGATGTTTCTGGCTGTTGAGACAAAGAGGTCCCAATGCCAAACTGACTTATTTTTACCCATATTTAGTAGCAGTATCAAAACTGGCAAGGATATGGAGAAACAAAATTTGTAGATGGTGGGCAGGAGAGTAAACTGGTAAAACCATTTTGGAAACATTTGTCATTGTCTTGATGACTGAACAGGTGTCTATTCTGTGACCCAGAGAATATTCTTCAGCAACTCCTGTGTGCCAGGAGACACACAAAAAATGTTTATGGCCACATTGTCCTTAAAACAACCAAAGGGAATCAAGACAGATACGCACTTTCATGAGAATTGGTAAATAAACTGTGGTGTATTATAGCAGTGGATATGAATGAACCAGAGGTGCAGACATCAAAACGCATGAGTCTTAGAAACATGTTAAGTATAAAAGCAGTTGAAGAATTACATATAATATCATTTTAATAATGTAAAGGTCAGACATAAGCCAAACCAAATCCCTCGCACAGGGATATATCTATATCTAGAAAGCGAGTGGTAGATGAACCGGAGGATTCAGGGTGATGGGCACAGACATGCAGGGTGGGGGGATGGGCACACCAGTATTGGCAATGTTCATTTCCCTAAGTAGGGTGGAAGGTTTACATTTTATTGATATGCTTTGGAAGATCCATTCATATTATATATTGTAAAATATTATTATTATTATTATTATTATTTCACAAGTATCATGATATAAACAAAGAAAGACCACTTGACTGGCTCAAGCCACATCTGCAGTTCAAATGTTCACTTCCTTTACCTGAATGCTAAGCCAGCCCCCTTTCTGGTTCTCCCTTATCGTCACTAATTAACTAAAAATTCAGTAAAAAGTGTATAACCTGCCATTCAAAATTCCATAAAGTAGTATTTCTTTGGTTTCACTATGTATCATTCTCAGCTTAGTCTCATGGCAACCCAAATGGTTTTAAATTTTTTGGGCTTATCCAAAGCATTCCTATCTCCTTGCTTTTGCTCCTGCAATTCCTTTACCTAAATGCTGTTCCCTGTATGGCTAAGTGGGAGTTCCACCCATCCCATCCTCTACAACCACACTGTCTACTGCCTCCATCATCAAGGCTGTCCTGAGCCTCCCAAGCCAGACAGCTTCTTTTCTTCCTCCAAATTCCCAGTGTTCCTTACAGACGGCTCGTGGCCCTTCAATTATGGTTGTTCTGTCTGGTTGTCTTAGTTCATGCATTCTGAACACTTCCCAGGTGCCCCAGGGGTAGGGTACTGGGATTCAAGTCACATATAGTTGACAAATGAAGAGCAGTCACGATCAACTTTTGAAGGACAAAAGGAGTAGAGAGTTAGCCAGGACTCCAGGGTAGAGGAAAGAGCAAGTGCAAAGGCCCAGATGTCAGATCAAACGTGGGTCACACTGCGTGTGGGGCAGCAAACGTCCACAAGCTCCCCACCCCCACCCCCACCCCTGACATCCCTGTGGCTCACAGCCAGATACACAGCGAATCCTCTGAACTGGATCAAAAACACACACACAGTGCAAAACACACTTCGTTCTCCTTCCCTGCTAGCAAAGGGCAGGGGATCCCATGTTCTGGTTAAGAGTTCTAAGAAAGAAAACAGGTCACACACATCTTAATTCATCGAACCCTTCATGGTATGTTTTAAAATGCATTAGCTGAAGTGCCTCGTGAGGTTAAGTTCAAAAATAGGTAAGACAGCTCAGCTATTAGCAAACATTCTCTATGAAAAAAACAGGCAGACATCTTAGGGAGTGTGTGTAGGTGTGAGTGTGTTTATGTACCTGCTCCTCTGTTGGAAAACCCCACATAAAAACACTGTGCTACTAATGCGTTTCCTTTACCCTAATAAGTTTATGGGAAGCAGAGGGTGAGCAGTTGGGGCAGAAAGAATAATCATCAGATTTGAGGGGTGGTTTTGTTTGTTTGTGTTTTGGATTGGTTGGAGAAAGGTTTTGGTATGTATCCCAGGCTGGCCTTAAACAGTTCAGGTCAGCCTCAAACTCACAATCCTCCTGCCTCAGAGTTCCAAGTGCTGGGATTACAGTTGTGCATCACAGCATCCAGCCCCAGTTTTGAGAGTTTTACAAACTAACATTCACTTGGGAACCAAGATGACACAGCAGGAAAATGGTAAGGCCTACTTATAGTTGGGAAACAGTAATTTCATTTAAAGAAATTTCTTTCTGATTGTGCAAACCGAGGCCACAGGAAACAGATTTTCACAGAATATTAACCAGCATTTATATTGTTCCTTCTTCATTGAGCTCATTTCTCCCGCATGTCAAATTGAAGATTCCTGCTCACTGAGATGTGTTCTGTTCTTTTGGACTTGTGTTTTTATTTTTAGTTAAGGTTCAGATCAGGGTGTGATCAATACTACCTCTGGCCTAATGTCTTTGAGGCAGTGGACCGAGGGGATATCTGCTGATTTGCATATCTTTTTTAGTTATTATGGAAATACCCAGATCATTTGGGTAATAAACCAGTCAAGCAAATGTGGCCCAAGGGAAAACAAAGATGGAGTGCTGGGCCTGACAGAAGAAAATAAAACAAAAGAGAAGTCAGGTAGCATTTGGAGAGGTGTCTGCTCATTGGTAAAATCACCAAGCAAAAACAGAAGGTTCAAAAATTCTGTGTGCAATATCTCATCCCTTACCGGACAGGATGGATATGCCAACTTCAAGAGAAGGGAAGGGGGCATCTGCCTGGCTGTGACACGAAACACTGGTGAGTGGCTTCTAGAAATCCAGGCTCCTGGTCATGACAATAAAACTATCCATGAAAGGAGGCAGATGGGGCCTTAACTTAAACACAAAGACTTCTCTTCTTCCCACAAATAGTCAGACATCCTGGACTTCCTGTGTCCTGGGAGGGAGGGGCAGAGGGCACTGTCTAAGATCCTCTGTGCTGTCGCCAAATCTACAACCAAGAGGAACAGCTTGAAGGAAAGAGACGTCAATTTATTTGTGTGTCTCTCAACTTGATGAATGTGGACACTCCCCCCAGAGAACTAATTTTTGTGTATAATTAAACATGGAAATGCTATGTTTTCTAATCAACAGCCAATCAGTCTGTGATAGTCTGAATATCATTACCGAAGGTTGTGATTTCCCTGCAAATTACTTTCTCAGTTGCATTTTAAGATGTCATCTCCCAAGACTACACTGAGAGTGCCAGCCAAGGGCTGAAAGGTTCACTCTAGGTGGGTCCCCACTTACCACGAGCCCTCCAGGTAGGCGTTGAGGCCTTTGCGAATGACATGGCCCAAGTAACCATTTTTCTCAGCTACGTGCTTTGCCCACCTGAAAAGGAAAAGGACGGAAGTATGCAAACTGTGGTAAATCACATAATCATTTTTTTCTCCATATGATCTCAATAAATCCCATTTGGGGAATATTTTGCTTGTTAGAATTTTTATAAAGCAACAAAGCAGAACTGAATGTTAAGAAGGAAAATGCATTTGAGAGCTTTTCATTCAGCACCCTTACTTGTGAAGGCTTAGCAGTCGTTGTCTTTTATGGGAACAAGGACATGTGACATACATGATGAGAAGTGGTTTACCGCCATGGAGGAAATAAATCATCTCCAAGAGTTCTCATTAAAATCCAGTGACTGGGGCTAGAAGAGGAACTCAGTGGCAGAGAACTTTCAGAAAGGGAGAGGGAAGGGAAAGAAAGAAAGAAGGAAGGAAGAAAGAAAGAGAGGTTTAGTGATTTGTTACAAGCCTTCCCTGTTTTGTTTTTGTCTCGTAATGTAACCATCAGGGTTTATTGATAATGAAATGGTGTGTATCTTTTAGGCTTACACCACTAAAGAATGCTATAAGAATGTATAATAACAGAAGGGGTAAATATAATAGTTCTTTTTTAAAAATACTTGATTAATACAAAGGAAGGGCAAGAAAAGAGAAAAATTCACAAAACAGAATGGATGAGACAAATAGGAAATAAATAGCAAAATAGTAGATCTTAAAACCAAATGCACCTCTAATTACATTAAATGTAATTAAAGTTAGCCAGGCATCGGTGCCTCATGCCTGTAATCCTAACTATGAAAGAGGCAGAGATCGTGGTTCCAAGCCAACCCAAGCAAATAGTTCATTCATGAAAACCTATCTCAGAAAAACCATCACAAAAAGGGGTTGGAGGAGGGGCTCAAGGTGGAGAACCTGAGTTCAAGCCCCTGTACCGAAAAACAAAAAAACTAAAGTTGTCAAACTAATTTTACAAAAATTCAATTATATGTTACTGACAGGAGACATGCATTAAAATGAAAGGACAGAGAAATACAGAAAGTAAAAGGATCTTTGTACTTAAGACAGAAAGTATAAACGGATAAAAAGTAAAAGAGACAAGGCAAGGACCGTCAATAGAGATTAAAGAGGACACTGTAAGATGATAAAAGTATAAACTAGAACAGGCAAAAAAAACCCCACTGTGTAACCCAATAACATAAATTCAAGATATACAATGCAAAACTGACAGAGATGAAGGGAGAGATTAGCAAGTCTACACACACAGTAGGGGATTTTAACATCTTTCTTTCAATAACTGATAACACAAACAGAAAAAGAAAAGTCCCAAGGGATACAGATCTGAACAATATGATTAATGAACTTGACACACTGAAGCATTTTCAGGCATTGTGCCCATAAGGTTTAGAAAACAAACTCTTTTCACAAGACCAGAAAGCATCTAGCAAAACTGATGACATTCTAGTCATTGGAGTGCCTCCACAAATTTCAAAGTATTGAAATATGGCCTTGGAACGTACTGGAATTAAGCCAGAAATCAATAACAAAAGGATAACAAGAAAATCCCTGAAACATGAATATTCACACCAAATATTCTACATAGCAATGATAAAAAGCTTCAAGTCAGTCTACATTTTATCAGAGTTCAGGTCAGAATGGTTTGACCCCAAACGTCTTATGAAAATAACGTTTATGGAAAGCCAGGTTGTAGGGGTAGGGAGACTTACAGGATAGGTCAGCAATTGTTTGTTTTCTGTAAAGGGCAAGATGGAACTATTTTAAGCTTTGTGGGCCACACATGGTCTTCATTGCACGTTCTTTGTTTATAACTCTTTTAAAATGTAAAAAGCATGTTTAGCTGTTGGGGCCACACAAAACAGACACCGAACCACATGTCATCTTTGAGTTATAGTTTACCAACCCCCCATGAAACATTTTCAGTCAGGTAAGACCTCAAAAATGTGTCTCCTGTTCACCATTCTTCAAGAAGCTACTGCAGGATGTGCTTAACTGAACCAGGAGCAGACCAGAAAAGATGAAGAAAGGAGACCAGCAAGGAGAACCAACCCCCCAAAAACAGATGGAGGGAAAAGGGACCCCCACCAATGGTGACAAAAGCAGGGTGACAGCAGTGTCCTGAACAAAGGACACTGGCAGAAGCTTAACAGAACATGTCGTGGGGCTGCACACACTGAGAGGAGGCTGGGATGTGTGCAGGAGGGTCTGGAGATCAAGCACATAGAAAATGACAAGTACACTGTCCTAAGCAAGCAGACAACAATAAAAACAGGATATCAAAACCAATCCTGGCATACTACATGGCTCAGCTGAAAATAGCATTTATTGTCATGGTAATATCAGCCCAGACACCAAATCTAACCAAGACGACATGCTTATTGAGAAGATGAGAGCACACAGAAAGTGTGACTGAGTGGGGATGGAGGTGGCAGAGATCCCCAGGGGACATCACTAGATAGGGCCTATGAGGAAAATACCAAAAACAGTGACACAAGCATGCTATTTGGAGACAGAGGCAAATAAAGAAGAAATAAAGTGAAAACAATTTAATCTAGGGAGTAGAAATAAAGTCTGGAGTATGGGGGGATAACAGGCAAGAGCTGTCTTCTTTTCCTTGTTGACCTATTTACTTTATTTTAATTAAAAATTTTTAGCTGGGTATGGGTGGCTCACGCCTGCAATCCTAGCTACTCAGGAGGCAGAGGCCAGGAGGATCACAGTTTGAAGCCAGCCCAGGCAAAATAGTTTGCGAGACCCTATTTCGAAAAACCCTTCACAAAAATAAGCCTGGTGGAGTGGCTCAAGGTGTAGGTCCTGAGTTCAAACCCCAGTACCACAAAAAAAAAAATTAAAAATTAAAAATTGCCTTGTCAATTATTTGACTCTGAATTAAATGCTTGTATAACTGAAAAAACTCAATTTTAAAATTGCAGAGAAAGAGAAGGAAGGAAGGAAGGAAGGAAGGAAGAACGTCCCCTTTCTCAAGCTTGGGAATAGAAGATATGGCTTTTCCATCACAGGTGACATTTAACAGGCTCTTACACAACAGCTTTCTCAGGATCTCTGGGGAACGTCTCCAGGTTGCCCGTGATATAGTAGAGAGAACACCACAAGGTCCCTTCGATGTGTCCTCCCTGTGCAGCCTTGTGGAAATATTCACCAGCTAATGTCTGTAAAGAGATATGAAGACTGTCACTCTCATTAGCACCGAGTCCTGGCTGGGCTTGTTCCACCAGAGCCAAGGTCACGAGATTCTTTAAGCCTGATATTATCACAGGCTTATAACTTCTGATACTTTAAAGAAAACCAGGTCAAGCAATAGCTCCAGGCAGACATCACAGGGGCCAGCCTCCAGGATGGATGACCGCTGAAAGCTATTCCGCTGATTATGTTTACTCAATAAATAAGACCATGTGTGGCCATGAGCACCTATGCCATCTTTTTCAATCCTCACATGACCCCTGCACTCTAGACCGTGGCCCACACAGAAGCCACACTGGGCGAAAATTCAAGTGTTTGCTATCCTAACCTCACCTAATACCTTTCTTCAAACTTGTGCACAAAAACTGCGTTTTCAGTAGGAAGGTGAGAATTAGAATAAGACGATAAAAAACTCCAGGCTCACAGATGTGTGGGAGGGTTACCAGACACTTGTGATATCTAAAAATATCAGCCATGAGTATAATCTGAGAGGGAGAAGGGGAGAAGAAACTTACCCATCTAAGGGTAAGTGTACTCTCACTGATTGCCATTGGCTATTGTTTGAAAAGCCTAGGCTCTGCAGGCAGATGGCCTTGAGTTCAAATCCCAGCTCTGCTCCTGACCTGCCATGTGGCATTGGCATGTTAGTTACTCCCTCCAAACCTCACTTTCTGCAGCTGCAAAATGTGATTTCTGACAATCCCTAGCAGGAAAGGGTGGGGCGAGGATGAAAGAGAGCACATATCCTCAGGTTCAGCTCCAGGAAGAATCTTCCAACTTGCTCTCCTATCCACCGGCCAAATCTGTGACAAGCTGCTTCAGTCTTGCTTTGTCACAAGAACTGCTACCTTCATTCTTCCATCTCTACAACTCCAGAGGCTTCCCTGACCCCTCTCCATCTTTTGCACCCCAAATCCAAACCACCAGCAAATCCTGTTACCTCCATCTTCAAAATGTCTGTAGACTCCAGCCCTATCTCAACCCTCTAATACTGCCCAAGGTTCCCACCATTCTCCTGCTTCCTCCTCAGGGTTTTTACCCCAAATGCTGCTTCCTTCTGGAATGTTCTCCCAGATATACACCAGACTCCTTTAGGAGCCTGCAAAATCTTACCTTGTCGGAGAGGACTTCCCTGGTCTCCCTTATAAAATAGCATCCCTAAATCTCCTCCCACCCTGTCCACCTTGTCACCCTTGCCGCCACCTGTGCTTTTACTAGATATTTGTTTATTGTCTTTCTCCCTCACAGAAATCTAAGCCTCACCAGGACAGGGACTGTTTTGCCCACTGCTGTGTCCCAGTGCCCGGAAGCACGCCTGGCTGAGGAGGTGTTCACTAGGTGCTATTGTATGCAAGGTGCTGGAGTCGGGATTACTATGAAAAGAAATGGTTCATGTTTCCCACCAGATCCAGGTCCTGACTCCACTAAGTGCACCCACTGTTACATCCCTCCGAGACACTGCCACCTGCACAATCACAGCAGTCATTTTAGGGGGTAGGCTACAAGCCCGCACTTGTTAAGTGTTGGGCACCGAGATAGTAATCAACACTAAAGATGGCTCCTGACGCTGCTGCTTTCATTATTATGCAATCTGGCTGCACACCTGCAACCCCATCTGGACTTAGCTCTCTCTGCTTCTAGTAAGACCCTGGACCATCTCTCGCTGGTCCCTTGCCTTGTGTCATTTCCCACTTCTCCTCCAGCTCAAGTCTCCCTCCTCCATGAAGCCTTCCTGGCTGCTCTGACCTTCCCTGATTCCCCTCTCCAGAATTGCTGGGTCCTGCCACTTATCTCATTTGTCCCTTGGCTAAATGCATCCTTCCCTGTTCACCATCCTGCCTTCCTCACTGGATCCTGAGCTTTGTGAGGGCGGGGCCGGAGAGGAGGGTAGGCTAGTGAAGAGCAAAAGGATGTCTGAGGTTACATCCTCATGTTCTCCCCATCCCCGTGCTTAGTCTAGGTTGGCACACAGCACACCCTCCATAAGTGCAGATTCAATGACTTTGAGCGCCTCAAGGTCACTCACTAGATTCCTTCCAGAGACTCCTGGGAAAATGCCGTCCAGGTGCAGGACTCCGAGATTATATGATGCATCTGGGTTCCCCATTTCTTCCGCTTTTAGCCAGAACTTGGCTGCTTTGGTATAATTTTTCTTGAATTTGTGATAATACCATCCCAGGCCATTGACTGCCTGATGCAAGCCCTGAATGTGAGGACAAGAAAGAAATTACTTTTGTTTTTGTTTTGTTTTTAATGAAATCTAAAGAGACCTGGAAGCAGTTGCTATGGGAGCATTCTGCTTGAGTCTAAGCAAAGCCTTCCCTTTCTCTTTTTGGGGCAGATGGCACTAAAGAAAAGCCAAGTTTGAGGAAACAGTAGCCAGCCTGAGAGACTTCCCAGGTGGATGTCACCACACTGCTGCTGGGATTTCTGCCTTCCAGATCAACAGTGACGTGGATCCCCAAATCACTGCTTGGCGCCTGCGGGTTCTTATGCAACACCCTCGTCTACCAACACCTCTTCTGGCCCTGCAGAATCAACAGTGCCCTTGAAATTCATGAGCACTCAGCTGCACAGGCTGTCTGGAACCTGCCCTGGGTGGGACGGTTTCTAGGTGACCCACCTGCCCATCTGTTGATTCATCTGCCTGAACTTCAACAAACCTCTGAAAGAAGCAGCTGTACAGCCCACTTGCAGAACCCTAGTGTTTGGTGATGGCCTAGCATCCCCAGCTCCGACAGGGCTCGGAGTCTGGCAGGGGCTGAAAAGTGTTGTGAAAAAGGAGGCTTCAGGACAGTGTCTGAACCTGGAGCTGGTCTCAGGCAGGGGTCCCTACATAGCACTCCATCTTTGAGCTTCCTAGTGCATCCTAGTGGATACTGTCTTCTGCTTTACACAGGTGCTCATGCAGGGACCCTACAGGCTGTGTGCATGGTCCTGATAGAGCCTCCTGCCCTGCTGTAAGACACCTGTGTGCATACCTGGGCATACAGCACTCTCATTCATCACTTCCTGCCTGACCCACAAGACCAAGACAAATGGCAGAAAAAAGACATGAGAGGCAAACAGTGCCCTTGCATCTGTGGACTTGTGAAGGCAGAGGCTAAGTGTAGATGCAAATCTCTTAAGCCTCCTCTTTTACCAGGGAAGAATGGTGTCTCTTCCCAGGAGATGCCAAGATCTCAACCTGCAGCCTTCCCTGCCATGGTTCTGCCTCTTAGTGTTTATGTTGTAATCTTTGTGCCAGGAAAACCTGGAGAAGAAACCAGCAAAGCCCACTGGAATGGAAACTCCAAGATGGCCAGCATCTTGGTTTTTATCCTAAGCACAGAGTAAGCACTCAATAAACTTGTGCCAGGTGAATGATAGCCATGCTTTGAATGCTGGTGCAAAGCAAAATGGATCCACATCCTCCACTTTCAGGATTGAGAAAAGGACTCACATCCATAGGCCACCAAGACACCCAACCTGAGAGTGTCACATGGGGAATGTCAATGCTGTGGATCCAATCATGGAAGCTTTCTTCTTGAGCCTGGAGCAAGCCAAGACTGTGTTTTAAAGAAATACTAGACCAAGTCATACTACAAGGTGACAAAAGCCCGCTTTGGGACACTTCTACAGAAGGGACACATCAGATGACTCACCTGGAGAAGGCCATAGCCTTATTCAGATGCACCTGTCATTTGCCAAAGGCTCTTCAGAACTGTCCTCTAGGATTTGCCTTGGACTCAGTTCAGGAACCCACAAGAAATCCTGCCTTATTGCTTAGTACTGAAACCTTGTGCTGGACATTTACCCAGCTGCTTCCACAGATCTGCTTTTGTGTGACTTCTAATTCCAAAAATCAAACTCTAGGCAGTCTTCATCACAGGACCTGATAGAGTAGGGCTTTAATCTTTAGTATTTGCTGAATGGATGAATGAGAATCACATAATACGTGTAAGGATGTGATTATTCCAGGCTGCAAGACTGCATCTCCTCAACACTTGCATAAGCTTTGCAAAAATTCATTCACAATAGAACACATTAGACACGAATTCACCACTAGGGGGCTAAAGAGATGCAAATCTCACACCTGCCCAGAACCCTCAGGAGGTTTTGGCCCCAGTTTTGTTATCAGGGCAGCTCATGATTATAATTTTAGCCTTCAAACAAAATCAGCCTGAATTCTCTTGACTGGAAGGTGAATTCGGCTTTTGACCCCACTTGTGTTGGGGTCAGGAGCAGAGGCACATCAGTTTACAGAACCTAGGTAGAGGAATGCCTCAAGTGTCTTGCTCCAACTTCTGAGCTCCAATAAGGAAGAGAATGAGGAAGGACAGCTAACACTGTTACTTCAGGAGTCTTAATGGATAAGGCCAGTATCGGCAGCCTTGGGAACAGAGGCACTGCCAAGAGGTAAAGGGTTACCAAGTGCCCAGTTGAGGTGGAGAATTATCATGGCTTCTACAGATCTATTTGTTTGCAAATCCATATGCAGATACATGCATGTGCTCGTACCTGTGCTGGGGATGTGTTTTCATGTGGGGTAGCGTGCAAACATGTGTGTGCCCCCTCCATTCTATAGCACTATAGAAACTAGCTGAATTGACATGATTGAAGTGTAAACAGTGACAAAAGCAGAATAATTCCTAAACCTGGTAATGACCTTGGTAAACAGTCCTCTATCAAAGCACAAGAAGCAAATGAGAATTGGTCACGACAGGGTTAATCTTCCAAGGGATTAGGCTTTTGGGTTTCCTAATTCAAAGGCATTTCTACCTATTCAATTGCAAGGAGCCCCACTGCTTGTTATCAGGGCAGCTCATGATTATAATTTTAGCCTTCAAACAAAATCAGCCTGAATTCTCTTGACTGGAAGGTGAATTCGGCTTTTGAATGTCTCTGTCCCATTATGGCAAGTTTCTGTATGCGTTGTAACTCACAAATGACTAATGCTGCATTGGGGGACCCCTCCCCACCCCATTTCCACCTCGGCTTTGTGGGAAGAGGCTGGCCACTTTCGTCTGGCAGACTTCTGAGAGCGTGGGCAGTGTGGGGAATGGCTCCCGCTGACAATATGCGTGTGTTACCTTGGAAGCTGCTTTCTTCATCAGTTCTAAGGCAAGCCGTCTGTTCTTTTTCACTCCTTGACCCTAAACATTGGTAAATAGCAATGATTAGGAGGAAAATGAGCCCAGAGTATACTTACAAGCATCACACAGGCACACCAGTGTTCAATGTAAAATACAAACCCCAAGCCTTCTTAATTAAAAACTCCATCTTAAACATTGCTATGAGCCGCACCATGCCATGACTTCATCACCATCCTCCTCCTCCTCCCTTTGCTCATATGTGTAGTACCGAGGCCACAAACCTCAACCTCACGACTGCTACAAAACCTTCCATTGATCACCATGTGAATCCTGTTCCTCTCATGCCACAGGTAGCGTGGGGAGAAGCTGAGGTGGGGCTGAATGCGTTTGGTCAGTTTGGATGCTGTCCTCTGGGATGACCTAATTGGCTAGTCAAATAAAGCACTTTATGTGTGTCGGACAGTCACGAGCTCTTAGGCTGTTGCTTGCAGCCTCCTCAGTCCTGGCTTGAGTCCTCAGAGTACAACACCGTGGCTTCAAAACCAGTTTGAGAACCTGCTATGAAGGAGATAGGACCCTGCAAAATCAGTTGCCTCAGAGGACAGAGAGGGAAACTAATAATGCTCTCCCAGCAAAATCAAGATTTTGCAGAAAAGATGGTTTGTCCTTCATGGAGAGAAATGGGCTCTGGGATGCTTGCTGCAAGACAGGAGCTCTGTGAGCCATGCTGAGGTGTTGGAGGACCCTGTGGGGAGACGGTAGGTCTGAGAGTGTGGCAGAAGGGGAGTCCTGAGGCCTCTCTTGACACAGGTGTGACAGTGAGGATGCCAGGCAAGGGCGGCCAACGGAAAACCCCTACTGCACCAAATTCATCTCTCCACTCTCCAGGTGCCTCAGGGGTCCTTAAGGACTCAAACAAAATAACAGGGTCACATGTGATACGACCTTGGAAGAATTCAGTTACGAGCTCTACTTTGATGCTTGGCCTATAACAAATGGAGATGGCACTAAGAAGCACTCCTGTGATGGCGCTAACTGACACTCCTGTGTTAATTAATTAATTGATATGGACCATGTACAGGCCAATCATACCTAACCACCACAACAATCCAAACGGAAGAGCTGCTGCCCTTTCTATTTGAGAAACTTCCCAGTGTCACATAGTGCAGAGGCAGGATTTGAACCCAGGCAAAGTAGACTTAGGCAAGCTTATAAACTACACTCTATTTTTCTGCTAAGAAAGTATAATAATTCATAACCTCCCACAGAACACAGGAAAAACACACGGGACACTTGACTTAAAATTTGTGAGTTGAACTAAAGGTTAACTTATATGTACCAAGTTTCTACTACACTTTAACATCCCTACTTAATAAAGCCGGTGGGCTGAAGCAAAAGGGATGATGAAGATATTTTTCAGAAGTGAACCATTACTTTATTTAGTTAGAGAAGGAGAAGAAAGAGAAGGACATAGAGGATACTTGGAATAACCTTTCTGGACTGCTAGAAATCCAGGAATACTGGATTTGCAGAATGTTCGAACCTTACTGAACTCAGAATTTATCTTCTACAATTGTTTGTTTTGAAGGAATAAAATTGGCCCAGAGAGGTTGATTTAAGCGAAGTCTCACAGAGCTGTAACTATAACCCAGATATTCCAGTTTTAAGGAAGGGATGTTTCCAGTACAGCTGCTAATCCAGTACACTTGCTAGCTTAATCAGATAACAGCTTGCACAAAGACTGCACTATATCTGAATCTGAGTAGTGTCAGAAGCTGTTAAATGAGACATACTTCAAGTCCTGGTACAGAGAGAGTGCTTAGTAGCTATTCACTAAATGTACTGAGGAAGGAGAGTAGCTACAAAGACAAAGCTCAATTATCAGCAGTATGCAAGATGGGATACACTTGATTGCCTTGGGTAAACCACACCCATCATCCTGGCACCATCTTTGCACACAGGAAGTTGGGGGCTCCCCACAGCCAAATGCACATTATTGTCCTTTACATTTGGAAAACCCATTTTCTACACAAGATCCTTTCACACGGAATGCATGTTCTTAAAAAGACCCCAGAGGTGAAATCTTCAGAGATACTGGCGAAGGTCTTCATCCAGCCAGAGATAACTTACCTAGGATGCAGAAAAACTGGTGGACGGAAACCTGTAAGGTTTCTGAGGAAACATGTCACCTGCAGAGTTATTGATGTATGTACTTGCCTCTCCCTCTAGATTGTGAGCTCCTGGTGGGCAGAAATAATGCCTGATTCCTGCCTTTACCTTGTCCACACTTCGCAGAGTGACCAGCCCCAACCTTGGTGGACAGGTGCCTCTCCTCTGTGGCATTGCTGTCCTCTGTCTTCTCCTCCAGTGTATGAGCTCCCTGAGGCCAGGAATGTGACTCATGCATCCATATGTCCCTTCATCTAGCACAGAGTCTGGTATTTTGTCAGCCCTAAATGGATGCTTATTGAATAAACACACGGATGGAGTGGCATATGGCAAAGATTCAAATAATTTCTATGCTGATTTGATGCTTAGGAAGAGAAAGTCCAGGCTTTTGATTTGGAAACCATAACAACCAATGGATTGTCAGGCTTTGATGTGGTTTAGACGGTGGAGATGCAGCAAAAGGCACAGATGTAAATCAGTGAGTGGCCCCAGCTCTGGTTCTAGAGATAGGCCTGGCCAAGTGAATGTCATTCTTCAAAGACACTCATTGTGGGGGGCAGCTGTACTCTTTGGGCATGGATGTAAAGGTTCACAGGTTTCCTTACCAAAGCCAAAGCTTTTCACTTTCCCAAGATTGGTGAACTTGTGCCTCTGTGTTTGGGAGTGAAGAGTACAGATTGTGAAGCCAGTCTGCCTGGATCCCCATCCCAGATCTGAAATGCACCAGCTGGTCAACCTCGGGTAAGTGACAAGACCTTTCAGTGCCTCTGTTTCTACATATACACAGTGATCATAATACACTGAGGTTACACGTAATACTTCTCAAAGTGGTTACGAGATTAAATGCCTTCATTTATGTAAAGCAGGGAGTAAGCACTCCATCAGTGTTACAATGATGCTTTTGTACGGGCACACACGTTTCATAGTTCTCAAAGCCCGGTGTTTACAACAGCTCATTCATGGTCATGGCCCTCATCCCATGAGACCAGCGGCTGTGGAGGTAGACTATAATACCTGTCCTCTATCTCCTGGGCTTATCCCAGCCCCTCTTCCTTATTCTCCCTTTGGCTCAAACCAAGATGGTTGTTTCCATCAGTGGGACTGTTGGGTTCTGGTCCAAACGTGTACTCTGTTGGAGCAGGAATTCAGTGAGAAGTCTGGCAGCAAACGTGCAGCACTTGTAGTGCCTGGTGGCTGTGGATCAACCCGTGAGATATGAGTGTCTCCTTCAGAATGCCACAGTTCTTGCAAGAGTAGCAAGAATCCAGCTGACGAACGTAAGGTTGACAATTAAAAATGCAAAGAGAGAAGTGCTTCCGATCTACCTTTTCCTCTAGCATCCCTCTCCGTCACAAGAGACGGAGCATGTTCTAAGTTTTATCCGTGACAGACTCCCCGAAGTCTGCACGCCCACAGTTAACGGCCCAGGATGTTTATTATCAGAATTGCACAATTTCAGTCCAAATTAAACGACTCTTACCTTGAATAACACGATGGCGTAGTCGTATATTAAGGCAGGATCCTCGGTCTCCAGAGCCCCCTTGGCATACCACTCAATGGCAGCTTCAGGGTTCTTGGCCACACCTTGCTGCCCCCAGAACAACATCTGGGCCAGTCGTTGCTTAAAGATAATAAAAGCAATTAAGAACAGTGACTTTTCTGTGTAAGGCTTAACGTAAGACTTTGCAAGGTAGGAGGACAAACCTAGTTTAAAATGTTTTATGTTGAGAACCAAGAATTAGACACACTTCATCTTCCAACAGGGGATCAAAGCCTGGAGGTGGATTTGTATAAATACCAGCCCTCAACATGAGAGTGTGTGTGTGTGTGTGTGTGTGTGTGTGTGTGTGTGTACTGCACCAGAGCCAGAATTACACAGAACTTAATAGAACTTGGTTAACGACTGCAGGCTGGATAGAACTTGGTCAATGACAAATCGTGACTCACTTCTCTTATCAAATGCCCCACTTTTGGGGGGTATGACCCATCTTCTTGGCACAGTAATCATCACGGAGGTCTCTCTTAGGCATTCCTTTCCAACACTGATGGATGCATCATTTGTCTACATGGCTGGATCCACCATCAGACAAGGCTGGGGACTGACATGAGGTTCCTTCCTTGTGATGTTGACTTTACCTCCAACTCTTCAGGCCCACCCAGCAGAACTCAGTAAAGTTTCTAGAAACTTCTCTACAAAGACTTGCTGAAGGGAAATAATTGTTAGGAAAGTTAATGTAAGCTCTGGAACACCCAGAAAATGATGATGGTGTTTTCAAAACTAGACTTCCTTCTTGTACTCAAAAGACTACAGAAAGTCTCTCGGCTCCCCCTTGCTCTGTGGCCACGTAGGCTCAGGAACTTGGGGCCATTCAAGTCTCAGAGCCAAGAAAGTATGATGTCTCACCTCGGGAGGCCACTCAGGTAATAGCAACAATTAGAATAATGATGACCAGTATTTTTTATTGGAACAACTACGTGCTGGGCGTTTAACAAATGCTTTTTCATTTAATCCTCACAGCAAAGCTGTGACCCAGCTATCACTCCCCCAATTTATAGGCAAGGAAATGGATTTTCAGAAGGTAAAGGAGGCAGGAGCAACCTTTGTTAATACTGGGCCCCTTGCTGTCTTGCTTTCACCTTTCCTTCTATTCCCCTTTCCCGTCAGACACATAACTTCCAGCAAAGTATCCACTGGAATGCCAGGAAACGCCGAAGAGTGGGATACCTGTTCCCCAAGAATACCTGAGCGGTTCCTTTGTCAGTGCCTCCCATTCTTGATGACTTTCTTTCCCTTCCCATCTTCGCTCTTCCTCCTGTGCAGCAGTCCCCAAGGCTCCTCGTCACACTGCTGTGCTCGCTGGGAGCACTCAGCAAAAGCGAAATCCAGCGCCTGCACCCACACACACTGTGGGAGGAAGGCTTCCTCCTGGGCGCTTGAGCCTCAGCAGGTCCCACCAAAGGCTTCCCACACTGAATCAGCTGGAGGACATCTCTCCAGTCTCTGCCTTTCTTGAGCCTCTAAAAGTCCACCCAAGACAACAGATGGTCACGGACATGGCTGAGCCTTTGTCCTAGACACCAGAAGTAATTTTCGATCGTTCTCCTGTGATTACACAGACTTCTCTCAGCGCCCATTTAATGCCTCCGAGATGCTTCTTGTTTTCTATCTGATGTGTGCACCAGAATACCTGACGAACCTTCAGGGCTGCTCACTAACATCGTGGTGCCTCTCCTTCAAGGTGGGTGGCCACTTGAAGTCGAGAGTGGTCCTGTGACTTGTTTTGAGCCGTGAAGTATTCGTAGTCACTTGGCCCACTTCTGGCCAGAAGTGCTATGAGCAGCGTGGGATCGGCGGGGCCATGGCCCTGCCTGGGTCTTTGAAGCCTGCGTGGAGAAGCTGCATCAGCCTGGGCTCCAAGGGATTGTGGGGACGGAGCACCTGCCATCCCCCATCAGACACATAGTGCAAGCAAGAAATAACCTGGCGTAGTTTTAAGCCACCACATCTGGGAGGTATCGGTACCATGTCGTATCTGGTCTGTCGTGGCTGACAGGCTCTCCAGCAGAGCGGGCTCATTCTTACCTGAGCTGCTGCATTGCCTCGGGCAGCCTCATGCTTCAGCCACATGAAGACGTCGCCATCTTCTTTGGTTTGCACCTTGAGTACTTCCTCATCTTTTAGTCTAATGGTTTCAACATATGCCTAAAAATTTAGAAAGGAAAGAATAAGAGAAGCAGAGACAGAGGGAAGAAGAGAGGGGAGGGAGGGAGAGAGGAAGGAAGAGAGGGAGGGGAAGGGAAAGGAAGGGGGGGAGGAAGGGAGGGAAGGAGAGAGGGAAGAAACGAGAAAGGAAGGAAGGGGAAGGGAAGGGAAGGAAGAGGGGGAGAGGGAGGGAAGATGGGAGGGAGGGGAGGGAGGAAAAGTGGGAGGGAGGGAAGATGGGAGGGAGGGGAAGGACCCAAATGTTAGGTGCATACAAAAGACTAGACGTTATTTTTAAACCAGCAATTGCTGAAGTGAATAACTGAAATATGAGGCATGCCTGCAATGCCAAAAGATCAAATTCTTTTTAAACGAATGTACCACATCTTACACATCTACATGGGTGTTTGCTCTGATCAAAGTGTTTGCTTTGGGAGGCTAGCGTTTTCCACTTCTGCTTCTATTATTCAAGTGTGTTCAGAAGTCCACCTGCTGCCACTGACCTCAGAGCCAGATCACACACACAGCATCAAAAACAGTAAATCAATATTTTCTAAGTATGACCTTAATGTTTTTTATCCGAAGCACTACCGTCTTGCATGACTAACCCCTTTTATTTCACAGGCTCAGCTTCAAATATCTCTTGGCTATTTCCAAAAATATTTAAATCTACCTTGAAAAGAAGAGGGCATGTTAACTCTGAGAAATCAAGAAGAAATGTTTTAGAAGCTCTGAAGATGAACCCAAAAGGAAAGTTTACAAAGTATTTTGATTTTGTGCACAGCCTTCTAGATGTCCAACTCCTTTGAGGAAACTAAGATTCATTTTGGTATATAAATTCTGGCTGTTTATTAGAAATCCAGTCTCATTGTGTTTTGGTTTCCCATGATGAAGTTTATGGAACATGTCATAGAGGACCCTGGGGAGCACTTTCCACACCCTGTGCATGCCACAGGCAGGTAGGAAGAAAATGGATGGATTAGTTTGGAAAAGAAGCCTCAGAGAAGGAGTGGGGCCCAACTTCCCTTCTGACCGTCTTTGTTAGTCAAGAAAAGTATGTAGAGTGTCAACTCTAGTCTGCACCCTACTCCTTAGAACATCTCTTAGCTGCCTCTTGTTCTGTGCCCTTGTGGGGACTGGGGTTCCTTTCAGGGGTATTAGGCGGCTGAGACTTGGGGCCGTTCAAGGCTCAGAGCCCAGCAGGAGTGATGTCTCCCAGGTAATAGCAGGATTCAGGAGGCCACCCAGGTAATAGCAACAATTAAAATAATGACGATGGCCACCGCCTTTTATTGAATTAACTGTGTGCTGGGTGTTTAACAGATGTTTTTTTCATTTAATCCTCACAGCAAAGCTGTGACCCAGGTATCGCTCCCCCAATTTATAGGCAAAGACACAGAAGTGCAGAAAATGAAATCATGAATTTAAGGTCACATTGCATCACAGGCACTGGAAGTCAGGTGGCTGGACCCCAAAGACAGAGCTCTTCTGTGTGCCCACACGATGTCACCTGTCAGGCCGGGCAGAAACCACGCTGTCTCATTTACTTTTTGCCAAGTTCATGACCTGTTGCATGCCCAGGGGACACCGTGTCTTCTGGGAGGAGCCTGGGGTTGGGCAGAAACTTGAACGACCCTGATAAGGAATTCTCAGTGGGAAGTTTTGTACTCACCTGGAGAATCTGAGTGTTTTGACTTCTGGTTTTCTTTTTCCTCTTGTTTTGTTTCCTCTTCCTTACTGTCATGGGACTTGGTTCAAAGGCAGGACTCATGACAATGGTTCCTAACCTCGTGGGATTTGTGCTCAGAACTGTGCCCTGTGCCAGCACTGGTGACAGACCAGCAAGACCCCCATGTGCGGTGTGCCAGGCACTGATCCAACTGCTTGCCCTGATGGACTCGTGGAAGCTTTGTAACCTGATTCGACAGTCACTGTCAGCATCCTGTGCCACACATGTGGACAGTGAGGCCCAAAGAGCTTAATTAACTTGCCTGACATCATATATTGAGTTCTTCAAATTTAGTTCTTCTAGATTAGTTAGGAGTCTAATCTAGACTGGCCCACACTCCTCACTCAGCCTTATATCCTGCAAAGACTCATGCCTCTGGGAAGAAGCAGGAGGTCAACCGTTCCATTGTCTTCCCTTCTACTTAATAAACTCCTAACAGCACTGTGAGTGGAGTCTTAGCAGAGAGCATGTTTGGGGTGGGGAGGGGCAACCATGCATAATGGTGAAGAGAAGGAGCACCACTTCCCACTGGGTGGTGCCATTGAGCTTTATAGTAAGACGGGGCAATTACTAATTAGCAAGACTTTCCCATCCCACCTAGGGATTTGAATTCAAACTCACCACCGACTCCCAGTGGGCCTTGGGCCAGTTACTTTGTGTGTAAGACACTCATTTTCTGCATCCAGAAGATGGAGCTTAGCATAGTACCTCCTGTATCAAAAGCACTCAGGCTATAAGACATTATGTAAATATATATATATATAAGACATTATATAAATATATATATATATATATTTTTTTTTCAGTGCAAAGAGTTAAAAAGACCTAGGTTCAGTTCTAGGCTGCACTCCTCATTTATTGTGTGACTTTGGGCAATTTCTTTAACCTTCTCTGAGTTTCCATTGCTTCTTCTGTAAAATGGGCCCAATACTGATAATGGACCTCATGGGGCTGCACGGGGATTAAATGAGATAGCTATGCAAGGGCTCAGCAGCACGCCTGGCACATGGCATGATCTCGGTAAATGACCACTCATCATTTTTCAGGGTCCTACTTCATTCTAAAGTGTAAATGGCTGGCAGCAGTTTAGAACAGTAGCCCTCATGCTGGAACTTGTAGTTTTGTACCGCTCAGAGCCTTTTGTGAGGAGGTGAAGATTTACTCAAGAGAATTTTGTACTTAGAAAATGGAAGGGATACACTTTGGGGAGAGAGCAAAGCCCAGGTGTATTTCCAGGAGCTGATGCTATGCTCTGTCTGTCACATGACCTGTGGGCCAACTGATTTGTGCTGCAACAACCTTGTGACCTCCACGGTGCCCACTTTATAGATGAGAAACAGAGACAGAGAGGCCAGAGGATCATCTGAGTTTTCACACCCACTGAAAGCAGTGGAGCCACCACCATGCCTGCTGCCCTCCTGCAGGGGGCCCCTTGCCATAGTTCTGGGGACACCAAAACAGCAATCGGTACCACGGCAGAGCCACATGCCTGGGCCTTCTGTAAAAGCAGGTCACCTGCAAGGACCTCTGCAGACAGGATGACCCTAAAAGGAACAGCATTTGGTTGTTCATTCATTCAAACAGCATGTCATGGTTAGAAAAGGAGCTGGGCAGACAGAAGCAGCAGTGGTGGGGGTGGGGCAGGGCTGTGGATGCCAGCAGGAGCAGACGCCCCTGGCAGGTCAGTTCTGGGATCTTTCATGGTTTCCAGACAATTCTTTGCTGCCACTTTCTAAAATCAATGTCTGTAGAATGAGCAGCTCTGAAGTTCATATCTTATATTGCAGGGTTAAAACCCGCTGCCAGCTCCCAGGAGGCCTAGTGTCTGGAAGCTGCAGTCCTCAGGCCATCCTGGACCAAACGCCAGGGAAGGCGTCATGCTGTCCCAGAGATGATGGCACTCGTGGGCTTTCCCTTCTTGCCCCTGGCCAGCCTGCAGGCTGCCAAAGACAGTGTTCCTGTAAGAACAGTGCAGTCACTGATTTCAGGAAAGGCCAGAGAGGGAGAGTGAAGATAGAAGGGGACAAGAGAGAAAGGAGAGAGAGGGGGAGGGAGAGAAAGAAGAGGGGAGAGAATGAGTAGAAAGAAAAGAAAATGAGGCAGAGATAAAAAAAAAAAAGGAAGAGAGAGTAAAATTGAGAGAGAGAGAGAAGGAAAAGAAGAGGAGGGAGAGAAGGGTATAGAAATGAAGAGAGCAAGGGAAACGGAGAAAAGGGAGGAAGAGAAGGAGAGGGAGGAAGGGGGAGGGAAGGACAGGAAGAAAGGAAGACAGAAGAGGTCAGGAAGCAAAGCCCTCTGGATCTGCAGGTGGAGAGCTCATGGTAGCCCCCCACCCTCCCCCATTTCCTGGGATCACCTGCCTGCAGCCAACTGATGAAATGTAACAGCTCAGCCAGCACCCAGGGACCCGGGGCAGCCGTCAAGAGGAGCGGGCAATCTCAGAGCCTCCACTTGAGTGCCTACCTGTGCTAACTTCCTGCAGCGCCTGTCGGAACTGCCAGGGGGAACCCGCCTCTGGTAGTGCTCAAGTCAGCTGTACTGTTTGGCTCCCAATGAGACAGGGTGCGTTTCTCTGTTGAAATGTAACATCCTAGGAGTTTTTAAGTAAGGATGGGTGTCAACTGTAACAGTGGAGAGACAGGGAAGCAAGAGTCCCCAAAAGTGAGATGTCACACACAAAGGCAGGGTTTAAAACTGAGTGCTCTGGGGACCTGGCATCAATGGTGAAACTCTGGGTGCATCAAAACGGCACCAGCATGGACAAGACATCAGTACCTGATGCTCAGCACTGGATGAACTCTGCACTCACACCCCACCCATCATGCCCCCAAGAAATACCAAGCACTAGCTACGTGTCAAGCACCCTGGATTCCTTGCCTCCTGGAACTCAGGCTACTAAGGGAGGCAGCTCTGCAGCTGTGGGCACAGCACCAGCCCAGGAGAAGTGCCTGGGGGTTGTGGTGGCAGCACAGGGAAGCTGGTGCAAGGCTCCAGGGGAGGCAGCATGGCTGCAAGGCGTTAAAGTAGGAGGGCTCCATGGGAGGTGGGGCATGGACTAGGCAAGGCCAGGACTGTGATCAGTATGGTGTGGCCAAAATTTGGTGTTGCCAGAGTTGGCAGACCAAGCCAGGATGGGTAAGAGTTGAGGGTGGGTAGAGAGAGGAAAATGAGAGCAAGGAACTCTTTTATGCCTCGTGACCAGTTCTTAGTACTTCCAGGTCATACTTCTCAAACCCAGCTGCAGATTGTAAAATCCCCGGATGATCATGTGTGGTGTTTGCATGTAACCTAAGCATCATAGCCTATGTACTTTAATCATCTCTAGGTTGTTATCAATATCTAGTACAATGTAGATACTATGTAAATAGTTGTTAGACTGTATTGTTTATGGAATAATGAAAAGGGGAACTCTGTACATGTTCAGGTCAGACCTAATTTTTTTCTCTGGACATTTCCAGTCTATAGTTGATTGAAGCAGAGGGCCTGGGACCCGCAGACATGGAGGGTGAACTGTATGCATATATTAAATACCTGAGTACTTTGCTTTTGGTGGGCTGGGGTTTGAACTCAGAGCTCTGCAGTTGCAAAGCAGGTGCTTGACCACTTGAGTCACACTTCCCATCCATTTTTGCTCTGGTTATTTTGAGATGGAGTCTCAAAAACTATTTGCCCAGGCTGGCCTTGAATCTTGATCCTCTCGATCTCAGCCTCCTAAATAGTTAGATTACAGGTGTAAGCCACAGGTGCTTGGCCACAGGTATGTTTTAGCCCTCAGGTGTTTCTGACACTTAGCTAGGTTGAGAGGTCTTCTGTCCTCTACTGTGGAGAGACACTTGGCTTTCAGGAGAAGAGAATGGGAAAGTCCAGATGGTTGCAGAAAGAGCAGTGGGTAGTGTGTTAGTTTACCATGGTTGGCAGGCCAGGTGGTTTCACAGTAGGAACTGATTTTCTCACAGTTCTGGGGGCTGGAGTCCAGGATCAAAGTGCTGGCAGGCTTGGTTTCTTCTGGGGTCCCTCACCTCGGTTTTCTCTGGCTGTCTTCTTCCTGAGACCTCACAAGGTCATCCTGTTGTCTGTATTTTAATCTCTTCTTATAAGGACACCAGCACTACTGTTTTAGGACCCCGCTTTAACAACCTCATTTGAACTTAGTCACTCTTTAAAGACCTTATGCGGGCACATGTGGAGGCACTGGAGGTCAAGACCTCCACATATGGATTTTGAGGGGACACAGCTCTGCGCATAAGAGGATGCTGTTTCTGGGGCTTGGGGAGAGATGGTGAAGGAAGAAATTAGCCAGTGGTGGCAGGGATGGAGATGGAGGAGAGAGGAGCTGGCGTGTAAAGCTGGTAGGTTGTTAGGGAAGAGGACAATGGGGGACCGAAGATGACTCCCCAGTTTCAGCATAGACAATGGTGCCATCTGTGGAGGTGTTAGTAGGAGGTGGAAGGGAGGGTAAGCACTTTCTTTGTGATATGTACAACTGCAAGTGGACTGTAAAGAACTCAGCCAGAGAAAGGTCAAGTGCCATATGTACAGGGAGGGCAACAGAAGTCAGGGGTGTGGATGAAGTCCTCACCCCTCCCCAAAGACACAGAGAGAACAGAAAGCTGGGGGTCCAAACCTCCATGGGGAGCAATTTCTAAGGAGTGGACTGAATGAGAGGTACTCGTTTGTGATTTAAGCCACCAAAACAAACAAACAAACAGAAACTCTACTCATCCTGGTTCTGTTCCATCTGAAGCTGAGTCCTACTCATCACAAAGAAGTGACTGATGTGACCCAAGAGCACTAATAAAGAAGATGAATTGCTGTGAACCTCGAGCTACATGAAAAGAGAAAACGAAACAAGACTCAAGAAAGGAGTTATTGACAGATCCTTGGTTTGTTAATTAGAGGTCTGGCTTTCTACAGCACTTCATCTGCTACATTGTGCTGGTGAATTAATAGATAGTTCAACAAAAGGACATTTAAATCAACGTATGACACCTGCTTAAATTCTCAGAAGCCATTAATTACACATTCTTAAGAAAATGAGCGATGACACAGTTCGTCTAAGTGTATAATTCCTATCTGTGATTCTTCATCACACAACTTTTCAGCTGCAAGATGGATCTGTCCTGTTCCTCTCTGGTTCTGACCAATTAAACATTTTCTTTCATAATCAAAACACTTCACATGCCAAATCTTCAAAAGGAAAGGAGCTTGTTAGCAACATGCTAATTTATGCTGAATTACAAATCTTAAAAGTATTATACATACATACAGGACATTATTAACACACTCAGGCTTAGCAGAAAGACAAAGGCAATATTATTTTGTGGTTTGATTTTTGTAAAATTGTTTTTGCAAGCTGATTCTTTTTTAAAAAAAATTACTGATTAATAAATTAATTCCTGCGAAGCTGAGTTTTTTTGTTTTTTTCTTTTAACAGTACTGGACGATGAACTCAGGCTTCACTCTACCATTTGAGCTATGACACCAGCCCAATCTGAGGTCAAATTTTTCACATGGTTTATATACACTGAAGAATACTCAGTAGAAACAAATGATAAGGCTGCGTAAATTTATTTGAACAGAATCATTATTTTTTAAAGGAGTTAGAACATCTGTACAGTCAGGCTTTGGTGTTTCATAGCTTCACTCATGTTTAATATTCACTGACTGCCTATCTCTGAGTCATTTATTTCATAACTGTACAGCAGCCACTAGGGATTTCTTTACAGAAACCATCCATTCAAAGTGTTCATTTTCCACACTGTGGGTTTCTGGTGACATCCAAGAGCATGGCTGGTGACCAGCGATGTGGTCCTCAGTTCGTCACTAAGCTTGAGATTCAATAATCCTGGCCTAGCCAGGCCTCCCCCTCAGGCTTGCTCAGGAAGCAGGGAAAGTCCAGCTTAGGGCACAGAATGCAGCCAAAACCTGCTACGCAGTGTGTACTGTCTGTGCCACACAAACCCAGTCTCTCATTTGTTTCCCCATTCCCACAGCATAGCTGAACTACTGCAACTGCTCAAGAGGTCAAGAAAGCTTTCCTTGACACAGGCAAAGCCTAAAATATCTACTATCTGGTCCTTTACAGAAAAAAAAAAAAAAAACAAACCTATTTGCACTTCTCAACTCAACCTCCTTACATGTGATGACCTCAAAGCCAACCACCTCACCATCTGCTCACATGAGCTGCAGATTTGCACCAAGAGGCAGCTTTCCCTCTGTTCTTACACAACCACCTTTACTTACAGCCTTTTATTCTCTGTCCCTAAAAGAAGACTGGAAACAAGCCATCCAGGCATCTAATTTAACACACTGTGGCTCTGGGGCAGATATGAGCCACTGATTTCTTAATCCAGTGAGTTAATAAGATTTGGGGGCCTGCAAAACGAGGGACTGGAGTTAGTGCCCCTCATTCAGTGCCCCTCATTCAGTGCTGAGTACTCCACAGGGCAAAGTGTCCAAGCAACAAATGCTGTTGTGAGTCACCTGGGGAAATGGGCTAACAAGGGTCATGTGATGAGGACAGACACTTCTCAAGTGCCCAGCCCTGGGAGCCTAGCTGAGTATGGAGCTGGCTTCTGGGTCTTGGAGACCCTGTTTGCTCATTGTGTGGTATCAGGAGCCCTGGGAGATTTCAATTTGACTCAGTCCCTCCTAATGCCTCCAGTCCTCACCATCTCACACATCTTAGGACATAAACAAGATCCCTATGTTTCTGCAACACATTTTTCTGCAAAATCAAAATTTGTCCAGGGCCAAATCACCTCTTTGTATGCCAGTCCTCTCTCATGAAAATCTTCCCACACAGATGCAGCCAGCCTGAGAACACAGGCAGGAAATACGAACTGGAGAGGGCAAGGAAGCTTCTCTCCATTTGGCTACATGCATCCGCTAAAGGCCAACAAATAAGCCAGCCACAGGTGCAGACACTAAAATTGTTCCGGAAGCCCTGGTAAATAGATCCATAAACCATTCCCGGCCACTTCCATCATACCTGGTCTCCCTGCAGAGTGTGCTGGTCAAGGGGTGTCTTCGTGGCGATGTTGCTGTAGTAGGCATATGACAGTTCCCAGTCCAGGGGGTAGCTGTCAACACCTTGGTAGTGTTTGTACCCAAGGTTCATTGAAGACAGCCTCTCACTGCCCTGGCCTCCAACCAAACTATACAGCATGCCCTGTTAGGAAGGAATTGGCAGCGTGTTCACAAGATTGTGTATAGGCTCATAAAATCCTAACACTAAAAGGTCACGTAGCTTTGTCTACAGCCATCCCAGAAATGTTAACTTGCCTTTAAACCTTTAAAAAGAAGACAACACAACTTCCTAATGGCTTATGAATTCCCAGCTGTCTGTCCTTCCTAATGTCTAGTAGCTTAAAATGCCCTGGTTTTCATCTTTTCTTGGTAGAAATGGAGACCTTCCCTGACTTCTCTTAGTACTGTTTTGTGTCACCACCATCTGTACTAAAGACTCCTGTGCTGCTTCAGCTACAGTGTCCATGAAAACACAATTTGACTGGTGAAGCCATGCCCCAACCTTGCACTCTCAGAATGTCAGTGCTCCCAGGGTCCTTAGAGACTGGCTGTTCCAACAATCTCATTTCACAGTTGAGGAAGTTGACGCCTGGAAAGCTGACGTCACTTATCCATGGTCAGCCAGCCACTTTGTGGCACAGACCCGGCTAGATTTTCTACTCTATTCCACCTTTGTGGGGACTGCTTCAGGGTCTTGGGAAAACATCTCAACAATCAAGAGCATCTAGAAACCAGAGATTGCAAATGAGTCACTGAAAAGCAACATGGGAAAATCTGAAAAGTGTGAATTGCCCCTGCCCCAAACTGAGGATAAAAAAAAATCACATATGCAGATCTAAAAATAAAAGTGATCAGAGAACATGTATCAGTATTTCTTGTGATGGTTAATATTACTTCAACTTGACAATGCATCAGGTGCCTAGCTTAAGCGTTAGTTCTTGGAGTGTCTGGAAAGGTGTTTCTAGAATATTAGCACTGGCACCGGTAGACCTGTAAAGAAGACTGCCCTGCCCAATGCAGGTGGGCATTACCCAATCCCCTGAGATCCTAAGCAGAGCCAAAGGCTGAGGAAGTTGGAATTTGCCTTTTTGTGTGTGTGTCCTGCCTGCCTGCTTGAGCTGGGACATTGGTCTTTTCCTGCCATTGAACTATAATTTACCCTGTCAGCTCCCCTGGTCCTTGGGCCCTCTGGCTTTGACTGGAAACACATCACTGGCTTTTCTGGCCTCCCACTTGCAGATGGCATATCACGGGACTTCTCAGCCTCCATAACTGTGCGAGCCAATTCCTCATGATCAATCTATACAATCCCATTGTTTATGTTTCTTAAGAGAACCCTGACTAATGCACTTACGAAGATGTGATTCTAAATGTTAGGCGAGTGGCATAGCCAATTTAGATTCAAAACCAAAAATGAAGCTGTCTGATATGGCATTTTCTTCCATGGTAGCCGGCTGGCTGTAACAGTACTTTGCTTCGAGATCCAAATGGTTTCTCTTAGCTAAAAAGTAATAAGGGATAATGCTCTCCCAGTCAGAGTAGTCACACCCATCACCTTGTTTTTAAAGGACTGAGATTCTGGCAAGCTCTGCCCAAACTGTTGCTTAGATGGGATACCCACAGTGCCCCCAAGGCCAAGTGCAGAAACAGACGAGGGGCCCTTTTCACTCACTGAAAGCAGGGTACCCTATATTTCCACAGCCCAAGGACATTTTTTGCTGGGAATAAAGACTTTTAAAGGACTCCAAGGAGTTGTGACATGCAGAGTTCTAGCAGAGGCAAACACAACCCCAGCGATGGATGCTCCGGGAACCCATGAAATACTCCACCTGCAGCTGATTCCGAGGTACATTTAATCCAGTTTCATAGAAGACTGCGAGGTAGTAGGATGCTTTATGGTATCCACAGCAGCTGGAATCCATCAGAAAGGGGATGACAGAGCTAATTTGGTGAAGACCAGCAATGCTGGAGAGTCTCTTTACAGCCTTCTCAAATATCCTCCCACCGATTTCTAATACAGATTCATTTTGGCTCCTTGGCACTGTAAATAACACAATTCACAGCACACAAAATTAATTACCATGGGATCAACGTGGCTTGAGAAAGAAGAGGAAAAAGCCAATTAAATCACCTGAGTTATTGATATGGTTGGTCCTCAGTACCTTGAAATATACCACCTTCTGGGGAGGTAAATTAAATCCTTTGGGGATGCCTGGTGTCATTCTGTAAATAGCTTTTTCTTTGGCACTAAATGACAGCCAAGTATCCTGGGGAAAAGGATGTGCCCTGCATAGCTGGGAAAGGGTCTCCAGAGAGTAATTTACTCAGTGTAATTCACCGCCCAATCAGAGCCACTGAAACTTCCAGAGAGACTTTTTTCCCTCCAAGACTCTCTGAAGAAGAATGTATTTTACTGCAGAAATACTCTAAAAAGTTGGGCAAAAGAATCTTATTTTCAGAAGCATCCTCATCATTTTTTGCTTCGGGTTTTCCTATGGGTCTCTACATTCAATAAAAAGAATCAGTTAACTTTTATGCCAAATATGGGGTTAATTGACCTATGCGAATTATGTCATTTGATCTGTACAGTCTTAGGAGATCCAAACTATTTTTAGACTCCTCCTGACTTTTCTCATAAGGAGAGTGGGACCTGAAGATGCAAAATAACTTGGCTAAAGTTACAAAAGCTGGGCCAACCTTTGAACCAACCTTTGCAGGTCAACAAAGCCAGAACTCACATTCTACCTGCTGCACTCAGCCCCTGGGGCAGACAAGCAGGTGTCTCCACCGGCATCTTGTACTGTAGATGGGGACTTGTTCACCAAGCTGCTCTAAGCTACATAATCCTCCCAGGAATCTATAAGCTGACCACCATCTAAGCCAAACAAGCAAGTCTGATAACCCTGTGATGTTCGTGTTAGAGTCTCTAAAGTCTATCTTTGTTATTAATCTCTCTTATTCATTAATTCAGCCAATAAACTTTACTTTCTAAGATAGGCAAGGCAAGATTGCAGGTACCATGTTCCAAAAGATCAGACAGGATAGAATAGACATTATTTACATGTAACTTAGGGCTTAAGTTTTATGTAAATAGCGTCAGCTTGAATGTTAAGTTAAATGTCAACTTAGACTAAAATTTCACCTGGGTAAAAACTGTTGTACCCGACATTTTTATTGTCTTCATCCTATCCAAAATAAAAGTGTTATTACAAAAAAAAAAAAATGTTCATGAAGCAGCAAGCAGCTCACTCTTCTTAGGAATGAGTAGAAAAGAGTTGCCAATATGGGAAGGTTTGTGATTAGGTTTATTTGAGTGCAATTCCCTTGCAACGGTTCATGTTAAAAACAGAGGTCAAGATCAGAAAGAGCCAAGGATGAAACTGTGAGTGCTGACATGCTGTTTTTGAGCTGGTGCTAGTCCCTGTGAGCATCAAAGGGCTGGCTGTCCCTGAGAGGGGGACACTAGGCCTGCACTTACAGACCCCAGAGCTGTGAGCTCCTCCCCACTCCAGCTGCATCTGCTTTGGCTACCTTGATCTCAAGTACCCAGGACAGTTGTGGCTGAAAAAAAAAATCATCTTACTGAACAAAGGGAGTTTCTCCTTTTCTGTATTTTATTTTTACTCCCTAAAGAAATAGTTGTTTGTTTTCAGAAAAATCCAACAATATAAATTGATATGAAATAAAGACAGAAGTCTTCTCTCCCCCAGTCTTTCTTTTATAATGAAGATAAAAAATGTTATGAGCTTGGTAGGTATGCTTGAGGATTTTCCTTACATATACAATAATTCATATACACATTTATTTACATATATTCATATGCAATTTCTTTCCAAAAATGATATATTATGCCACTATAGATTCTGACTTTGAATTTTCTTTTTTTTTTTAAATAGCTACATATTATGAATAACTCTCCTTGGCTATCAGGAACTTATTCTTTCCATTTTTTTTTTCTGTGCTGGGGATGGAAGTCAGGGCCTTGCACTTGCTAGACAAGCCTTCTACCACTGAGCTACATCCCCAGCCCTTGGAAGTTCATTCTTTCAATGCTTCAATGATGCAGTTGTCCCTTGGTAACCAGGGGTGGGAGTCTGCATCCATGATGCTCTGCAGATGCCCAAGTCCCATCTAAGAAAGGCATTGCATTTACATATAGCACACACACATCTTCCTGTGTACTTCAAATCATTTTTAGATCACTAATATCTAATACAATGTGAATTTATATAAATAGGCATTGTACCACATTGTTTAGGGACTAACAACAAGGAAACGTGTCTGTACATGTTCATTTTCTTTGTCTAAGCTTTTTTCAGTACTGGGGATTGAACCAAGAGCCTCACACATTCTAGGCAAGCACACTATCACAGAGCTACATCCCCAGCCTGATGTTCTGAATATTTTTGACCTATGGTAGGTTGCAAATGCAGATGTGGAGCTCCTGGTTACGAAGGCCAACTATATTGCATCTGAGAGCTGTACCACTCCCAACCTACTTTCTGTTTTTAGCCTCTTGGGCAACGACATCCTTGAACACTTTCCCTGTCCACCTGTTGGGAGATAGCTGAGTGACAACAACCTTCCCCATCAGGAGTCTGCGGATCTCTTTTGGGATTTCCCTTTGTATCCTTGAAACAAGAATTCTGACCTGCTCCACCAGAAGCCATAATAAGAACCTTCTCCACTGGATTCCACACACACTGTAGCATTCAGACCAGGTCACCACATAAATCCTACTGCTACTTAGTCATATATTTGGTTGTAAATCCGTGCTCATTCCGGATGCCCTCTGTGCATATTCCCAGCAAAGCAGCATTAGCAGTTTGTTAACGATTCATCTCAGCCTCACCTGTCCTGCCAAGTGCCTAACTACGGTGATGGGTTTCGCCTGAGTACACATGGCCTCAGCTTTGTAGGCTCAGAGGAGGGAAGAGACTCCAAACCAAATGAAAATCCAAATGCAACACCTGCCCTGCCGACCCTGGCACTGAACCCCAGGAATCATTAGCATGAGTGCCCAGGTAGCTGCGGTGCTGGGAAAGAAGGAATAAAACTGAACCCTCCACAAAGCTTACATCCTTAGCACAAACAACTTTATAGACTGAAAGGGCTCCATTATTTCTTTGGTATATTAAAATTCTTACTCCCCCCCACATTGCCAATCAGTATTTTCTCTGCACAAGAACCTAAACAATTTTCTGCACTACTGAACTTAATAAAAAAATAATATTTCGGAGGTAAAATTGCTCATGTTGCACATTTGTTAAAGTTTACATTACAATTGTTGCCTAAAATCAAAGCTGTGAGTCTTTGTGATATTGCAAAACTGGCGATTTTCAAGTTGCTTTAATGAAACTGTTAATTCCACCCATCTGGTTTAGCATATGTATTTTTTCTAGTTGATCTGTAACTAAAAACATGTCTTGTTTATGGAGATTCATGGTATAATGAAGAAACAAACAAATAAAATAGAAGAGGGATCCATTTTTCCATCTGTTTCCTTTCTGTACCAGAAGAAGGAAGAAAAGCCACAGCCACCAATAACTAACCCTTAATATTTTCCATGGAGCACAGCATCATTTATTTCAGATAGCTGTTTCCTTTCTTACACTAATACCATAGGCTGTCATTTGTGTGCTCATTCTTAGAAGAGGCAAAGCAGAATAGAAGGTAGCCACTTGCCAAGGCCCCAAGTTGGAACCAGCATCTGATTGAGAATTCAGAAGGAGAAGGCACCCTCATCGCTTGAAAGAGGGATGAGACTTCAATAGAAAAGTCATTTTTAGTTTCAAGCTTTCAAAAAGCGCTTGAAAGTAGAAGTTTGAAAGAGGGAAAAAAAGAGGAGAAAATGTCGCTTAACCAGTGAAAGGAATGTTCTTCACCAAGTTTACTGATTTGAAAAAAACTGGCACATTTCTCATTTGCATTCTGATCTGATCAACTCCCAAATCTTAAGGAGCTGCCTCACATCTCTCTCAAAAGTAGAGTGTTGGTATTTTTCCATCCTGTGTACACTTTTATATTTGGCATTTCCCTGCCTTCCTTCTCTCCTTAACTTCTCTCTCTCTGGCTCTCCCTCAAGACTGTTATTTTCTGGGTGGGAAACCATACCCCATTCTTTGTTTTCTTCTTCATGCCTCTGTATATTTTTTTAAAAACTAAATATGTATGTTTTTAAAGTAATAATAATGATGATGGTTGTTCAGCAAACACAAGTGAATATAAGCCTTAAAGTGAGCAATACCTAGTGTTTTTGTGTGGGTTAGTGGAGTGATAGAGACACTCAAGTGGTAGAGCACCCACCCTAGCAAGCATGAGGCCATAAGTTCAAACCCCAGAACCACCAGAAAATTTTTTTAAAAGATGTCTGTGGCGACCAGTGAGCAAAGAACCTGGTGGTGTTGTGTATTTCTCCATGTTCACGCTCTGTGTTTTAGAGTCTCCAAAAACCATTGTGATTTTTGGCAAAAAAACAAAAGTAGTTTTGAAAACAAAGTAGTTTTGCTGGTGCAGCCGGCAACCCCTTGGCACCCTGTGTGGGGCCCCATCTTCCCTCCACAGCTCTCCAAAGCCTGGGGCAAGAGGGAGATAGTAGCCCTGCAGGAACAAGGCAGATGGAGGCAGCTCTGGGAGATGAGCCCAGCCTTGGACCTGGCCTTATCCCAGAGAACCATTTACTGACAGATCCTGGACTTCCTCTAGCCACAGCCACCAGCTCTGTGGGCTCAGCAGTGCTTGTGCAGGGTAAAGGGAGAGAAGAAAGTAAACATCTCTTGCTGGGATGAATGTCCCCAAGGATACACTGGGCAGCTCACCTGTCTCAGTCACCTGTCCCTCCTGGCTGTCGTATCACCTGCTCAGAGACCTAGATCCCACCTGCCTGTGCTTTGTGTGCTTCTTCACTGCTCCCTGCTGTCCCAGCTCTCTGGCCTGGAGCTCCACCTGCATTGCTGGCCCCACAGCTTCTTTGCAGCCTGGTCCAGCACCTCGCTTTCCTCAGTGCCAAGATCCCATTCAAAGGACTTTTGGTTTAAATCC